GTATTGTAATATCTGGACAAACAAGGCAAAGCAAGATTGAACAGAAACAAAAGTTTTATAAAAAAGAAAAAAGTAATCATTGTAAACAAACAATCAAATGAACACCTAGCAACAACTGGACAAGACCTGCAAATGTATTTTTAATTGGTCGAAATTGTACTTAATATTTTAGATGAGATGCCACAAATGAGTTCATGGTGGGTTTCTGTTAGACACTTATTAAAATACTATTGATCTAAAACATAGAAAACAGTCCCTTGAAGAAGTTTAACACTGACGAGTAGCATGATCCCATGAAAGACTGGGTCTGTGTTTCTTCAATGTCGCCTACATCAATCACAACATATGGCAATGGTGTTTCTTGCACATCACTTGGGAATGGGGATACTTTCGGGTCGCCAAGATCAATGTCCAAACACTGGAGGGGTGGGTTGGAGAGCGGGGTGTGGGTGACGGCATGGGGTGTCAGAGTATCCTAGCTGAATCGAGAGGTAGTGGAGGGTTCCTATTAAAAGGGTAAAAGAAAAAGGGTGCAAATTGGTTGTGTTAGAATGGTGCATCGGGGCAAAGTAACGTGCATTGGTTGATTAAATGATATAGACCTGAGAAAGAATGAAAACAGTGCTGGAAAAGATTGAAAATTAAAGCGATGATGAAGGGTATGCATAATTAGCTCTTTGATTTTTTGGTTACAGTATGACATTATGTTTTAGACGAGTGTAAGGCTGTTAGCTTTTTGTAAGTGGTTAATTATGGTTAGGACTGGCTAAAGTATCAACAAACTGGTGAGGCATTTGTTAATAGAAAACACCCGAGAGCCTGCAGACTGAAAACACTAAACACGAATGACCATGATGACCTACTGGAAGGGGGACGGGAGTGTCAGGGTGAGAGAGAGCCAGGCTGTGTCTCTGTAGGTTGTTCAACTCATCCCGAGCTGTGGGTGTGAGGAACAAAACATAATGTGTAGACATGCGCACAAGACTTGTAGAAAAAGCACAAAAATCCGCAAACATTAACATCAAGTAAAGTTTTTGTTTTGTGTTAATCAATCGGCGCCACAAAGCCATCTTAGCGCTAAGGTGATCGTTACTCCCTTACGTTAACACTGGCTTACGATAGTCGTAGAATGTGTTAATCACTCGGCACCGTTTACAGTTCGTCTTGTATCCGTTGTCAATCGCTGACAAAAACAAAGACATAACACTGACAAAAATGAGTGAAGTTTACATCAAGGGGGAATAGGGGAAATGAATAAAAAAGGGAATAGAACCAACATATCATGAAAGGTTGTGAACGAGCTAAAGATGCAGCCAATGTTTATTTCAACATAACTGGACAGGTTAGGATGGAAGCTTTGGCGCTCTTACCCAAGCAAAATGATTTTGTTTTTGTTTGTTTATTTGTTGTTTAACCCTCTGGATGCCGAGTTTTTTTTCTGACGCACATTTTCCTAAGATTGGAAAAGTGAAAGTTGTGCGAGAATTGCGCTCACGCGGCACTGGATCGACCTCTGGCTATAAAATTACGCAGAGGTGGAGAATATTAAATTTCCTATTTGATGGTGTAAAGTTAACTGCAAATATTGAACCGGTTTTAAAAAAATACACTTCTAAGTGTTGCCCGATAATTTTTTCTGCCTTGAAAAACAGTAAATTTCTCCGCTTTTTATCGTACACCGATAAAAGTACTGTGCGACGGTTTTTTTTATTTAGAAGCTTTACGGAATCTGTGAGCGAACAAAATACTGCCTAATATCTGAACGACATAACTATATACCAAATGGAGTTGTATGCGTATGTATAACGACAAACATGCAATGCCAAAAATAGCTTGCCGTAAATGACGAAAACTGATTTTTCTCTATGACGTCAAAAGGCGACAGAGAGGTTACACACGTACAAAGAAAAGGGGGCATAACTCCGCTAAGCTTAGCACTAGTTTATTGTAACTCAGGTCACTTGGTGAGAATTAGCTGTGGGTAAGGATAATATATTTTCGTGGTGTTTTGTTCACGAGGAACCAAACTATTCCAACACAAATATCGATAAAGAAACTATACGTTTAGTTGTAAAAAAAAACCCATAAGAAATGATGAAATCGTGTTTCATAAAAAAGAGATAATAGAGAAAAGGATGGCCCTATCTAACCTATAACTTAGTCCTTAGATTCCAACATTCTCCTGAATGTGTAAGTGTAATTTGACTAATGTTGCACCATTATTAATGGAGCACTAGCCTTATCATCAAATGTAATGAAATACTCAAAACAATAACACCGTTCTATTTGACGTCATGGCTGGTTTTATGTCTTTCATAACGTCGGAGAAAGATGACTCTGGTATTTTGATTAATATATATCTCCCTTAATTTTCGTTCATGATATGGAAAATCTCGATGTGTAAAACGGAATTTGACGCTTTTTCGACACAACATAAAATGGCTGCTTTCACCAATTAAATAATGTCTTGAATATGTAAACAATTAGCTAGTTTATCGTGTGTCTTAATTGGACAAGACACGCACCTGTTTGGCATCAATTTACGTAATGAAATACACAAAAGAATATTTCAAAACAACCAAATTATATTCAATATTGGACAGATATTGTTCTTATTTATCTTCATCTCGTCTCAGAATTACACACTAAAAGATGCGAAGAAAGCTCTATTGGTATATAATTGTCAGGATAATCGTATACGGTTGAACCAACAGCTAGGGTACTTGGCATGGGTTTTATTTTTATACATTTTACAATTCCAGGAGAAATAAAGTGAACAGTTTAATATCCTGTGATCACAATATTAAAAAAACACAAACCATTGATTATATGATGCAAAACGAGAGGAATAATTCGTAAATTGTTTGTGGCTAACACGCACCTGGCGAATCGTTAGATATCACGGCTCTGTGTATCAAACGACAAAAACAAAACAATTCCAAGACCAAGACAATTCTTTCAGAAATGTGTGCATATCTTTTTACGAAAAATATTATCCATTTTGTTAAAGTAATATAGATCGATTCAGTTTTAGTTATAAAATAAAATGAAACAGCTATTCAAAGACATTGGTTATATGAACTTATGATATTGACTATTACACATCCCGAGAAATACGTACATGCTGCAGTTACCTTTACGCTTCATCTTGTAACACTTGTCCAAAGGAAAGAAATATCGTATTCGACACTAAAAACCTATCAATTGTTATGTAAACAATGTTCAAACAAACAGGAGATTATCAAAGGTTCGTTCATACATGTTGTGGCTTATATTTGCCTATGATATCATTTTGAACATTGACAAATATCCAAAGGGAAATTAATTGTGTGAAAAATTGTATAAAACATATGCAAAATCTTCATCATAACTGAAACTGTAAACAGCATGATACAATGATCGTGTGCACTCTCATTCAAGGACCTTCACCTCAAAGAAATTACCAAATATGTACAACAATGTTGACGTATGACATCACTACCTGTGACCGACTTTTACAAAATGGCGTGTTCACTGTCAACAGTACGCGGGATTTTACGAGGGGTCTTTCGTTGATTCAGGGATCGCATATACATAAATGTGACATGTAGGTAATCAGAAACATTCTGACAATCTATGTACTGTTATTTGTTGTTATAATTTTCATTGAAAAGAACCGAAATAGGCAGAAATTCCGATAAATACTGTTGTCGTTGTGCGTGATTTTGCGTCAGTCATGGCGTCACACAGGACGGTAACTTTGACAATTTCTGTTGAAAATATCAAATCATTGTAATGTATCCATTTTAAATCCCCTAATATTTCCTACTATTCACTTCCCGTGCATATTCTGAAAATGTTGAACCAATGCTCAAAATAGGAGAAAATGCTACACTGTGTAAAATCTGTATGAGCATTGGTCATTTGATTCAAAAATGTATGAGGAATTCAAGGATGTGTGTATGGAGCTGAGTTTGAAATATACGCGATGTTACAGGCGCCTCATAACCGGTGTACCTGAAACGAGATTTTGTAAACACTAGCCAATATGGCGAAAAGTTCACTTCGGCGTTCGTGTTTGCGTATTTTCCAAAACATTCGAAACGATTCTCGGGTTATCGGAGACGTTTTGGAATGATCATTGGTGATTTCATAAAAGACGGATATCATCCAACATCATTCTTTCAACTTTTTCAATTTGTAGACAGTAATTAGCAGTGTCTTCAGTGTAAAAAGTACTGCAAACAGCTTCAGTAGCAGAGCCATTAGTGATGTCATTTGATTGTGACGTCATGGTAACCAGTGACGTCACAATGGTCTGCAAAGCATTGTGATGTAATTTCATTGCAGCGATATCTACACTGTAGATATCGCTTGATCTCATCCAAGCGATATCTCCTGTGGGAACCTAGTTTTGGGTGATAAACCCATTTTCACCTCACCTCACCGATAGAGATCGAGTCTGTGATTATAGATTTTTTTTACGTTCATTTAATAAATACCCTGTAAGACTACATCTGATATTGTCCGCATGCATACATAGACTAGGCGCCGTCATATAGCTGGAATATTGCTGAGTGCGGCGTTAATCAACAAACAAACAGCACAGACAGACTAGGAAATTGGGGCGGATTGACCCACAGGAGTCCGTATCTAAAAATAGACGCCCTCATGCATATTCCTTCGGGCTCGCGTGTGGAGATGGTAATGAATATGCACGAGGGCGTCTATTTTTAGATACGGACTCCAGTGATTTGGATGAAGATAAGAATGCTTCTTACATTTTTTAAAAAAAGATAATTATCCAATACACTATAGATCTATGTTCAAGATGTGATGTAGATCTATTTGTAATTAATTTTCGTGAAACAATGGCTTTGAAAAAAAAGCACGTAGAGTGATCCCAATGATCACCCGTATACATCATTGCCAAACGAAATGTTAGTGCTTGAACCACCATATTAATGATTGTGACTTTGAAACTCGCACTTGCGGTCGCCTGGAGTTGTCTTCCCCTAAACATGTCCTCGGAAGGAGGCCACGCTCGCTTGAGCTCCGATTCGAAGTGAGTCCATATACGTTTCTAAATAGTGGCAAGCTACCATATTTGTTCAAGGGCTTTATAAGATGCAGCTGCATCGATGTGAGCAGTTTCAATCCAATCTTGTCTCTATGAGTTATGAAATTTATATTTCTGAATAGCTCGCTCCCGGCTCAGATAAGCGAGCCCTTGTCGAGCAGCCAACGATATCACTTACCTCCCTTTGCACCCTACCTTTCAATGAAATAAATCGGTAAAAAAAAAATGGACGAAAATATCTATGTTACAATCACGTTTAGTTTGCAGTATAAGAGTATAACATGATGAAATGAATGAGACATGCTTTGTTCTAATAACTATTTAAATGTTTGGGACATTATTTTGTTATTGCACTGACTTAACTCTATTGAGTTTTGTTTAACATGTTAACGCCAATAAAGGACAGGTTAATAAAATGAATCATAATATACAATAAATTATGTAATAAATAAATGCAATAATTATGAATCAAAAGATGGCCTTGGAACATATGAAAATGTCATTTTTTAAAATTTTGATAACAGGTTATAAAGTGTATAGACATGTATTATCATCCTTTTTTTCAGATATAGTTTTGATATTGTGTTCATCAAACGCTTCCTGCGACTTTTTCGTTTGATGTTCCCAAGATGGCTGAGCGTGACCTCTCTGTTGAGTTTCTTTCTTCTTCTGCTATCTCTACTGGGTAAGTTAAAAATTGTGAGTGAGTGAGTGAGTGAGTGAGTTGGGTATAACGCCGCTTTTAACAGTATTCCAGTTATATCGCGGCGTGTCAGCTTAATGTGGGAGGAAAGCCCGAAGTGATGCAGGTTTCAGACGTTTACCACTGTGAAACCCACGAGCACGGGTATGGTGCTGACAAACCTAGAAACATAATCAGGGCGAACTGGGATTCGAACCCACAATCATAGGTTTCTGGCGTGCCCAAGAGACGCAACTCTGCACAGCGAATCGCGGCGCCTTAGACGACTGGGCCACCCGTGCCCCCTAAAAATTGTGAAACAAACACCATGTAAATATGTACTGGAATCTTGACAATCCAATAAAAATGCATGATTAGGTGTGGGGCACTTATTTGTTGCATCAGATCAAAAAGTCTGGTTTTAGAATTTTCATTGGTTTGCCTTGCTTCAAGGTTAAATATATATTTTGAGCGACAGTCTCGAAATATTTTTAAAAAAAGGAGAAATTTGTGTGGGACTGGTACATTTTGCCAATGAACATCTTTGGGATGAGTTTGGACAGCATGTGTGCAAACATTCTTTAGCTCCTAAATTTAGGCCCTGTGAAGATCCGGTGTAGAATAGGTCTTCAGCAACCCATGCTTGCCGTAAAAGGCGACTATGCTTGTCGTAAGAGGCGACTAACGGGACCAGGTGGTCAGGCTCGCTGACTTGGTTGATGCATATCATTGATCCCAAATGCGTGGATCGATGCTCATGATGTCAATCACTGGATTGTCTGGTCCAGACTCGATTATTTACAGACCCCCGTCATATACCTGGAATATTGCTGAGTGCGGGGTTAAAAAACAAACAAACAAAAAAAACATTCTAAATTTGGACAAACTGTTTGTACCCCCTTCTCAAGCGTTTGTATGCATGGGATGAGAAGAAACGGAGCATGTAAATAAATGCGTGTGTGGGTATCCTTGTTCATTTCACTGTTTTCACATTTTCAGTTGCATTAAATCTTCACAAACTTTGAGAAAGCAGGATGACTAATTTATTTTTGTCGAATATTTTTGCTTGAGGAAACTGTCATGGAACTTCTAGACAAGCCATTTCACTTGCTAAGAAATGATTCAACACACCATGGCATCATTTGCAATGCCTGTGCCAACTTCCCAAAGCAAGTTAAAACACATCTGTGACGTCATTCCATTGTTTGAACGCTCCATTATTTTTCAGGAATGGAGAGTTGCTTGTCAACTGTACAATACCTTGAAGTAACATTTGAATTAATTTCCACTTGTAACAGACGGAACTATTTTTTTACACTTATTTACAAGTGAATATTTTCATTCTTTTTCCGAAAACGTGTCGCCAGCGGGGTTCGAACACGCATAGTTAGATTTGAAAACGTGTAATTGTCAATCTCAGCTGCTGCGGCACATGAAGGCATGATATGAAATTAACTATTAAATATTTGCATAATTTTGCATAATGCTTATAAGCTCAAAATAATATGTATATATTTTATGTTAGAGCAGGTTACCCACAACAATGTTCATGTTTAAAGCAATTAGATAAACCTTTGACTAGAAAAAACAAATAAGGTAATATAAATATTCGCTTGCTCGGGACTCTATATTTCCTATTATACCCATCAGCATGTATTAACAATGTGCAAGCGATTGATAAATACTAGTTTAGGACCCAATGAAATTATGAAGAGCCGTCTACCATGCATTGTAAATGTCAGCGGCAGATAATGCATTCCTCGTGCATCACGCAAGGGCAACTCATGAAGTAAAAATACAGACAACAAAGAGTTCTGGTTTATTTTTCAAATATTTTCAACTACAGAATATTTTGTCAAAGTGTATGTTGAGTGTAAGTTGGGATGAGTTTTAAGTAGGGGAATATCCTCGTAACTCTCCATTCCTTAAATATAATGGGCCTTGGCCCCTGCAGGGCCTCTGCTCCATTATTTTTAAGGAATGGAGAGTTACTCGGACATTCCCCTCTACAGAGTTAACTGACTATAAAAGTCCAGTTTCCACCCTTTCCGAACTAGGCTGGTATTATATTGAGTTGAGGCTGGACTAACGAGTAAATCCATAGTCCAATCAAAATCACAAAACTTAATCCGGTTAGTAAACTATCATGCAGGTTTGGTCGATTGCATGATTTGCAAAGCATGTACACCGGACTTACATATTCAGGTGAGCTACAGTGCCATATTTCTTTTAATTTGCAGAATGCAAATGTACAGTTTTCACCACCAAAAATTGTATTTTAAATAACATTAAACTGCAGAGACAAATAATTCATAAACACGACTTGTTAAAAAATATCCCAAAGAAACCTGTGAATAAAAAAACAAAACTCCCATAGACCTGTGAAGATCCTGGGTAGAATTGGTCTTCAGCAACCCATGCTTGCCGTTAGAGGCAACTGTGCTTGTCGTAAGAGGCGACTAACGGGATTGGGTGGTCAGACTCGCTGACTTGGTTGATGCATATCATTGATCCCATATGCGTGGATCGATGCTCATGATGTCAATCACTCGATTGTCTGGTCCAGACTCGATTATTTACAGACCACCGTCATATACCTGGAATTTTGCTGAGGATCGATGCTCATGATGTCAATCACTGGATTGTCTGGTCCAGACTCGATCTTTTACAGACTGCCATCATATAGCTGGAATATTGCTAAGTGCGGCGTTAAACAACAAACAAACACACATAACTGACATACTTCGACATGGACTTACAACAGGCATAGCGCTCAGATTGTTTTGTGAAACTGGTCCCTGATGTCCAAGTATATGTATTTTGTTCGTGTTTGTAGAGCAAGTAATCATCTTCAACATAGGCCTCCTCCCTAGTGAGTACTACAAGGTCCTGGGAAACAAGGACGTGGACGGATTTCGTTCCAACACAATCAAGGCAGTTCTGCTGATTCTCGTAGAAGCTTTTGTAAGAGATTTTGTCATTTTATCATGTTTAATTAAGCTAAGATTTTTTAAAAGCAATGTTAATTCACATGTGTGCAACCAGGGGCTTAAGGCTTAAAGAAATAATAATCTTGGTCCGCATAATCATAAAGTCCACCTCATGTTTCATTTTTATTTCCATAAATATATAAATATATCCCTTATACCCCACTTCAAAGCAAAAACCTGCACGCTTTTTGCACGAGTTAATGGAAGTCACATGACATAGCACAAATGAATCCAGGTCAATCGAAAGCTGTTTTCTGTCAATTTTGAGTTTGTGTTAATTCTTTTACAATGTTGCATTAAAACATATCGGTAAGATAAATTCGTTGTGGCAGGATCAAGAGGGGTACATGGGGTTTTACGCGTCCCTCGTTTAGTTTTATACCACTTGCCTCCGGCTCGTATAAAACCTAACGAGGTACGCATAGAACCCCAATAGTGTACCTCGGTGACATGTTGCCCATTGCCAACATTTATCATATACACAGTTGAACAAACTGATTAAAATTAGACTGTTGCACAATTTGCACCGCCATCAGGCGTTCTTTATTGTCGACATTGTCCTTTAGTGTTTGGTGTCCTTTTGTGTGCTCTGACATTCTAAATATGCTACACATTGTTCTTTCTTTCATATGTCGTCTGTTTGTTTTGTATGTTGACCTTTATAATGATATTCATTACTTTATTCGTAACATGTGACTATTATTTCATACATTTGACCTTTATATCAACTGATGTATTTTTTACCGAATGGCCGCCCGTCAGTTTAGCTTACCAGTGTGATCACTAGTCACTTATTCCTAGTCATCTAAGGCGCCGCGATTTGCTGTGCAGAGTTGCGTCCCTTGGGCACGCCAGAAACCTATGATTGTGGGTTCGAATCCCGGTTCGCCCCGATTATGTTTCTAGGTTTGTCAGCACCATACCAGTGCTCGTGGGTTTCACCGAAGTGGTAAACGTCTTAGACCTGCATCACTTCGGGCTTTCCGCCGTGATATAACTGGAATAATGTTAAAAGCGGCGTTAAACCCAACTCACTCACTCACTCACCTAGTTATTATCACCCTGTCCTACAGAGCAAAAACTTCATAGTTTACTTGTATCTTCTAACACCACAATGTTAAACAGCATAGGAAAATTTATTTTTCTTGCATTTAAGAAAAGGGAAAAGTTCTTAACCAGTGATTAATATGAACAGGTATTAAGAGGAAACCACATGTATTTGGGTTGATACTCACTACATATTTAATAATGGCTTTCAATAATTCAGTCCCCCGTGGTCGGGTGAAATAGACGCTTTGTAAACAAGAACTGATGCTTCTTGTAGGATTTACTTTTCGGCTCTACTTTTCAAACTTTATTGCTCAAATATACACTGTAAACAGAATTTATGTACTTATCTACTGTGACAAACTCTTTTGTAAATAAGTACTGATACATTCCAAAGCTTCATTGTTTATTTATACACTGTAAACAATTTCATATAAAGTAATCGGTTGGGGTAAACCCCTGTGGACAAGAAATGATCTTTTTAGTATGATCTGCTCTATTTTTTTACCATTATTAATTTTATATACTCTGTTATCATCTGGCGCTTGAAAGTTACAATGGATACCGATTAATGAACAATGTATAATGGGCCGGTGGCCCCCTTACGAAATAATGTCATTCATTCATAAAGTGTGATCACTAGTCTGCTCTGATTGTGTAAAGTCTGTGTTAGAGTATCTATGTTACGATGTAAAGTCTATGTTAGAGTATCTATGTTACGATGTAAAGTCTATGTTAGAGTATCTATGTTACGATGTAAAGTGTATGTTAGAGTATCCATGTTACCATGTAAAGTCTATGTTAGAGTATCCAAGTTACGATGTAAAGTCTATGTTAGAGTCTCTATGTTACAATGTAAAGTCTATGTTAGAGTATCTATGTTACGATGAAAAGTCTATGTTAGAGTATCCATGTTACGATGTAAAGTCTATGTTAGAGTATCTAGGTTACGATGTAAAGTCTATGTTAGAGTATCTATGTTACAATGTAAAGTCTATGTTAGAGTCTCTATGTTACGATGTAAAGTCTATGTTAGAGTATCTAGGTTACGATGAAAAGTCGATGTTAGAGTATCTAGGTTATGATGTAAAGTCTATGTTAGAGTCTCTATGTTAGAGTCTCTATGTTACGATGTAAAGTCTATGTTAGAGTCTCTATGTTACGATGAAAAGTCTATGTTAGAGTCTCTATGTTACGATGTAAAGTCTATGTTAGAGTATCTATGTTACGATGTAAAGTCTATGTTAGAGTATCTATGTAACGATGTAAAGTCTATGTTAGAGTCTCTATGTTACGATGTAAAGTCTATGTTAGAGTATCTATGTTACGATGTAAAGTCTATGTTACAGTATCTATGTTACGATGAATGTAGCACTAAGATCACATTTTGCAAGTGGACCCTGGCCTCTTTCAAGAGCCAGATAAAGACCTTTATGTTTAGAATATCTACAATCTAATTGCAATAGGTTTATCTGTATGTAAGAAATAAACGACAAGTTGGAGTTGTTTATCGTCCAATAAAAAATCGTCCAATAAAACACTGCTGGGAGAATAAACCATGAGGAGCTGCGATAAACGGCTGTTGTTTATTTCTTGTATGAGATATCAACATTACGTACAGCCTCTTTAAGGATGATAGTTAAAAGTACTCGCTTCAAAATATTGACCCATATTTAAATAATGTTAACAAAATATAGACCCATATTTAAATAATGATGACTCCCTGCATAGAATCCAACTGCAGCAATGTCGGACAAGTCCAATAATTTATGAGGGGGGGGCGCTAAATGTGGTCTCACAACTTTCACAATTTTCACGTTGATTATCTGTACCTTTTCTCCCAATACTGATTCTCATATATCTCCCACTTTTGGAAGCGATCGTTCAGCCATTGCGTTCATCTGCGCTGCCAAGCTACGTCTATCTAGACACCTCCCTCTAAAAAATAATGTCGTCTTATTTACGACGTCGTCAAGAAATGACATCATGATAAAACAATGTTTTATCATGGATTATAAACAACGCTTCGTTCTTCATTGTTCTTTGCGATTTATCGCCTACCTATCTTATATATTTGTATATATCTTTGTCAATTGTTGTCCTTTGAGCTTACACATCATGTATGGAATTTGGCGCTGTACAAATACACTTTCATTAGTGTTGATTTGTTGCAACCAGCAGGATAAACATTCCCATTAAGTTCTTAGAAATCCAATGTCATTAAAATCAGATCTTAGTCCTCGCTGCCGCTAAACAAAGATCTGAGGACACCCTATTACGGGTCACGTCAGACTGACCTTTCACAAACCTTAACTGACCAATGGAATGACTGACAAGAAGTCGACATTAGCCAATCAGAAAGCAGCTTTCTCTTGCTTTACGGCACTAATGTGTAATTGGCGACTATGCTTTGAAACATATTTTGACAAATTCTTGATTAAAAAATTGAAACCTGAACAAAAGAACATTCTGGGATGGTTAATAATATGTCAGGGCACATAGATTGTATGGATTCAGTCGTAAAGCCTGTAACTATCGTTCAGAATACCCCGCGTTAAAATTTTCGAGGCTGCATGTTTAGGAATCACATTCCGACTGTCACATTCATGATCTGGTAAGCAACGCTCTGATTGGTCGAATGAAAGGTCGTTCTGAAATGACCCCTAATGGGATGTCCTCAGATCTTTGTTTAGTGGAAGCGAGTAAGTCATGATATGGCTGAAATATTGCCGATGTGACTTAAAAAATCTCAACTCAACTCGGTAGCGAGTACAAAGATCTGATTTTGATGAGATTGTTAGAAATCAGGTGTCTTAAAACTGCAAGGCTTCATAATTTTTTAAACATGGCTATATCTACTTTCATGAACATCGAAATCAGAAATAGGCCAGCATGATGTTAACATTATTTTCTTGCATGTTCAGATGAAGAGTACCATCTTGTATGTGTCATCAGTACTATATGTGACTTGGAGGAGCATGCTGACTGTTGCTCTACACCGCCGCTACTTCTACGACATCATCTATTACAGACTCAATGTGCTGGACAAAGCTATAGATAACCCGTGTGTACTTTGCTGTTTCTTGTTGTTACAACTTTTTGTTGTCACTAAATGTTCCGACCTGCCCGAGAACCCAATTTTGATTGTTTATCTTGAGTGTATGTACATAAGACTAAAAAAGATAATAGTCTTGGTTCTCAGGCACCGCCCACATCATCATAAAGTCTGCCACACTTTTTTTGTTTTTTTTCATTTTCCCCCCAAATCTAAAAATCCTAATACTTAAATACAATGTGATCCAATGTAGCACACAGTTACTTCCCTTTCCATGTGCACTGCTTTACTGCGCATATCATGTTATGGTCGTGGCAGCAATTGGAGTTTGTATGCTTGTATATGTAGGTTGGTTGGTTGGTTGGTTGGTTGGTTGGTTGGTTTGTTGTTTAACGCCGCACTCAGCAGTATTCCAGCTATATGACAGCGGTCTGTAAATAATCGAGTCTGGACCAGACAATCCAGTGATTGATATCATGAGCATCGATCCACGCAATTGGGATTGATGACATGCATCAACCAAGTCAGCGAGCCTGACCACCCGACCCCGTTAGTCACCTCTTACGACTAGCATAGTCACCTTTTACGGCAAGCATGGGTTGCTGAAGACCTATTCTACCCCTGGATCTTCACAGGTCGTTTATGTAGGGAGGCCCTTTCCCAGGTTGATGGTACACAACTGTTTATTTGTTTACATATTAGTTTGAACAAACAAACAAACAAAAAAAACACACCACCCAACTGCACTATATTTTCAAAAGTCATTGTCTGAGAACCAATTGTTTTGTTTTTTGTGTCTAATGCAAATCATTTTTCCCTTTTCTTTCAAATTATGTTTTATGATTCTTAGTCTACTTTTCATTGCACAAACTCATGTTTCCAAACACCAATATATGTCCATGATGACATACTTGCTGAATATAAACAACAAATTCTACCATTTTGTATCTTGCAGAGATCAGAGAATCACGCAGGATGTGGACAAACTTTGCAATTTCTTCAGTTTGATAATTGCCCCCCTGATAATCTCCCCTTTCACCATCGGCTACTACGTGTACCAAGCTTCCGTACGGTATGTACTCTGGGCCATACCACGTTCATCTTCCCGAGGCAAGAGAGTTAACTAACTATAAAAGTCCAGTTTCCACCCTTGCCGAACTAGGCTGGTATTATGGAGTTCCATTTTGGCTGGACTAACGAGTCAACACACAGTCCAATCAAAATCGCGCACCGAAATCGAAATCCGGTTCGTAAACTGTCGTTCAGATTTCGATCGACTGCAGTTATTGCAAGTCATGTGCATTGCCAACTCATTGTCAACAGATATCATTCTAAATCTTTTCATGTTTTTAATCAGGGTGGTCACGTGATTTGATGCATTTCGCGATGTAAGACCCGTTTTATCACAATATAGATCTTGATTATCAATCAGATAGTCCTGACTGGGCGCCACCATTTTGTGTGAAGCAAACGCAAGTGATACGAGAGTTGGAATCTGATTGGTCCTTAGGAGAGGATTAGAAGGGACATAACTGGTAATAGCCACTGGTGGCGCTACGATCGAGCCCAGTAATTTCAGCCTAGTTCAGCAAGGGTGGAAACTGGACTTTTAAAGTCAGTTAACTCTCTTGCCTCGGGAAGATGTACCCGGTGATAGATGGTTCTTGTTGTTTCCCTGCCTGGCACTTCTCTTAAGGGGCTAAGGGGCGGTCGGGTAGCCTAGTGGTTAAAGCGTTTGCTCGTCACGCCGAAGACCCGGGTTCGATTCCCGACATGGGTACAATGTGTGAAGCCCAATGCTGGTGTCCCCCGCCGTGATATTGCTGGAATATTGCTAAAAGCGGCGTAAAACCATACTCACTCACTCACTTAAGGGGCTAAAACAAGGACTGGTTGGCCCGGAGTCAGTATAATGTGCTTGAGTGGGTATTCATGTTAAACTGCCGCATGGCATCTCCTTTGGCTAGCATTAAAAAACGGCATTAGTCAGGACAAGCAGCCACACATTAGCAAGCATGCATTCACACACATACTCGTGTGCATCTCACCACTTCTTGGAGCATAGAAGGCCATTATGGCTCTGATGACTTGTCCAATCTCACAGTTTCATTCAGTAATTCAGTGAAGGTTTCTGTGAGCATTGTTAAGTGAGGACTTGTCAAAGGGTGGTCATTTGGACAAGAAATTCATCAGCTGAAATAGGGTCAAAAGTAAACACTAATGGTCAAATCTTACAAATAAAATATTAAATATGAACAAATGGCCCAGTGAGCGTGGAATGTATAAATCAGGTCACCTGTTGGATGTTTCAGCACTGGATACATTGGTCCAACAAGTGTGGAATGTATAAATCAGGTCACCTGTTGGTTGTATAAATGTGGTCACCTGTTGGATGTATAAATCAGGTCAGCTGTTGGATGTATAAATCAGGTCACCTGTTGGATGTATAAATCAGGTCATCTGTTGGATGTTTCAGCACTGGATACATTGGTCCAACAAGTGTGGAATGTATAAATCAGGTCACCTGTTGGTTGTATAAATGTGGTCACCTGTTGGATGTATAAATCAGGTCATCTGTTGGATGTATAAATCAGGTCACCTGTTGGATGTTTTAGCACTGGGTACATTGGTCCAGTGAGTGTGGAATGTATAAATCAGGTCATCTGTTGGATGTATAAATCAGGTCACCTGTTGGATGTATAAATCAGGTCATCTGTTGGATGTTTCAGCACTGGGTACATTGGTCCAGTGAGTGTGGAATGTATAAATCAGGTCACCTGTTGGATGTATAAATCAGGTCACCTGTTGGATGTATAAATCAGGTCATCTGTTGGTTGTTTCAGCACTGGGTACATTGGTCCAGTGAGTGTGGTGGTTTTCTTCATCCTGGCGACAATCATCAACAAGTTCCTCATGTCCCCCGTGGTGAGGTCTGTCTTCCATCAGAAGAGGAGGGAGGGAGACTTCAGGTGAGACTCGCCTTCCTACACCCAGTGTAGTGTGACAGTGTTTTATTATCCTCTGGACCCCTGAATATTTTATTCCTAGGGTCCATATAAGAGATACAAAGCTCCCGCCATACCTCACAATGAAATGTTCAACTAGATTTAGATATGATGGTAAAACTTGATCATGTTAAACAGTAATAAAAAAACTTGTTTATTGAAGAGGTTGGAAATTTTTAAATCTCTGGTAAAGGTACTGAATTAATTCCATGTAGCAAGTTTTACATATGCTTCATTCAAGGCATAGTTTGTTTTATTTAATGCATTCATGCATTTGTGCATACTGAACGAATATTTATGAGTTATGTAAAGCTTCCATCAGTTGTCATGTCAAATGACATCACAGCATTTGTCACCTCGATTTTTAGGCTCGGACACAGTGTTGTATGTATTAAAAAAAATTATGTCTTGTTATCATGGAATCTTTAAATGAAAACATTTTCATCATACTTACATAGCAAAAATCACATAATGAATTATTGATACCCTGTATTTGAAGACAAGGAACGTTGTAATTAATGTGATTGCTGGATGCACAATCAGTGCTAAGTGGTCTCTTCTTCTGTGATGCAGGTTCAAGCACATGCAGATCCGAGTAAATGCAGAGTCAGCAGCTTTCTACAGGTCAGGGGTCACTGAGGAGAAGAAAGCCAATCAGAAACTCCATGATCTTATCAAGGTCCAGCATAAACTGATACGCAGACAGTACGCTCTGAACTGTGAGTCTTATAAACAACATGATATCCTTGGTTTAGGATGTGTCCTGTACTTCTATAGTCCTCACAAATAATAATAACTACAGATTTATATAGCGCTGGTATCCACTTCGAAGAACTGCTCAAAAGCGCTTCATTTGAGTCTACACAAAAAAGAGACATTACGCAGCTAGGAAAACACAAAGCCTCAATACTCCAAGAAAGATTTGGTGAAAAGATAGGTTTTGAGTCTTGATCGGAACAAAGTAGGACTGTCAATGTTCCTGATATCCAATGGCAGCCTATTCCATAGCTCAGGGGCAACTTTGGCGAAACTCCGACCTCCAAAAGTCGCCGTTCTAACACTAGGCACAGAGAGTAGGGACTGGCAGCTTGATCTGAGAGATCTCCCAGGCACGTAATCTTCAAGAAGCTCGCTGATATAAGTTGGTTTTTGATGGTGTCTCGCATTGAACACAATCAGCATCACTTTATACTGGATTCTCTTATTGATTTTGAGCCAGTGGAGGTTCTGTACAATCGGTGTGATATGGTCAAACTTTTTGGATTCAGTAACAAGCCTGGCAGCACAGTTTTGAACTCTTTGAAGTTTAGTCAAAAGACTTTTAAGATTTAAAAAAAAATATATATAATGTTTTAGATGTATAAAAGGGTTCTAACTATAGGCTTGACTCGAAAAGTAAAGATGATTTCAGGGTGTAAGTGGAAAGAAGTTAATGTCACCCCAGTGTGAATTCAGGGGCAGTCTAGGAGAGAGAAGTGTTTATTTAAGTCTCTCTTTCTCAGAGCTACAGATAAGCTGCGTATTGGCGTAAAATACCCAGCCCCCACCCCCACAAATAATATTCAGAACTCAATTACTTTCAATTAACTTGCTTACAGAAACGCATGCATTAAATGAAAAACTCAATGTATAAAAACAGCATGCATAAATCCCCAATAAAGCTTTTTCAGCATGCGTATAACAGAGCTAATTTCCAAAACACAATTACGAGCTAATTTACTTTTCGAGTCAAGCCTATTGTTGGAACCCTTTTATACATCTAAAACATTATATTATTTTTTAAAATCTTAAAATGTTTACTCATTTTGGGAAAAACCCAATAGAGTGATGAATAGATGAGTGAAAAAATATTGGTTACCCAATGAAAAATGTAATAACCAAATTAAAATAGAACCCTTTGAGTAAAAACTCTTTAATAAGCGCCCACAGCGATAGTTGCTAATATGTCGGCTAGTGAACAATCCCAATTAGCACCCCTTCGTATTGATCAATTTACACAAGACTTATTTATTCGCATATAATACGCCCTCGTGTGTTATATGCACCCTTAATTATGGGCAATTAAATTCTGGAAAAATATATCTGTTGTACATAAACATTTCAGGCTGTCAGCATAAACCATGACATTTACGATCTTTCAACTAATAAGAGCCCCCTATTTCTAATTATACCCCCAGTTACGAAGTAAATCGGGGGTATATAGCGTTCCGTCTGTCCGTCCTTCCGTCCGTCCGTCCAAGCTTTTGTACAGCCCATAAGTTTTTAACCATGCACCCTAGCTTGCCTCGTACGACCAGCATAGGTTGCTGGGGATCAATTCTAACCCTGAATCCCCATGGTACGACCAGTGTATGTTGCTGGGGACAGCATCAAGATGAACAGATATTGATGACTTGCCAATAAGATTCAACACAAGGATTAGACAGTGATCAGCATGAGAACCTGTATGCCTCAGTGTATATTGCTTTGTGTGATTCCTGTAGTAACTGTAGCATACCTGTAGTAACTGTAGCATTCATGTTGTAACTGTAGCATACCTGTAGTAACTGTAGCATTCCTGTAGTAACTGTAACATTCCTGTAGTAACTGTAGCATTCCTGTAGTAACTGTAACATTCCTGTAGTAACTGTAGCATTCCTGTTGTAACTGAAACATTCCTGTAGTAACTGTAGCATTCCTGTCCTGTAGTAACTGTAACATTCCTGTAGTAACTGTAGCATTCTTGTAGTAACTAGCATACCTGTAGTAACTGTAACATTCCTGTAGTAACTAGCATTCCTGTAGTAACTAGCATACCTGTAGTAACTGTAGCATTCATGTAGTAACTGTAACATTCCTGTAGTAACTGTAGCATTCCTGTCTGTAGTAACTGTAACATTCATGTAGTAACTGTAGCATTCCTGTAGTAACTGTAGCATTCATGTCATGTAGTAACTGTAGCATTCCTGTAGTAGCTGTAGCATTTCTGTAGTAACTGTAACATTCATGTAGTAACTGTAGCATTCATGTAGTAACTAGCATACCTGTAGTAACTGTAGCATACCTGTAGTAACTAACATTCCTGTAGTAACTGTAGCATTCCTGTAGTAACAGTAACATTCCTGTAGTAACTAGCATTCCTGTCATGTAGTAACTGTAGCATTCCTGTAGTAACTAGCATACATGTAGTAACTGTAGCATTCATGTAGTAACTAGCATACCTGTAGTAACTAGCATTCATGTAGTAACTGTAGCCTTCATGTAGTAACTGTAGCATTCATGTAGTAACTGTAGTTGGCGGATGGTGGGGAAGTCTTGTGGTTAAAGCTGTGGACCCATGGTTGCAATCTGTGAAGCCCGCCCATTCTTTTGTAGCCCGTGGAGATGTATTGCTTGAATATGGCTTAATTAAAATAATCCTGCACATTCACTCACTATAGTTGACAATGACACCTACTCTTCTTGTCTTCCAGTTTCCATCAAGGCTGCAGACTACCTGGGCAGTATTCTAAGCTACATTGCTATTGCTGTGCCTGTCTTTGCCGGGAGCTACGACTCTTTGTCAGCGGAGCAGCTGTCTGCACTTATCAGCCAGGTATATGTGTATCATTGACATCAATGTGAACAACGCTCAGTTGGGTCTGCAATCTCTGTTGAAAAAGGTTTCAAATCACTGGAATGTTCTGGATTTTTTGTGGTGTACAAATTGTTTTCTTGATTCTATTTTTTAGCCAAATGTGAACAACAATGTACTCATATGGAAAGACTTCGATAAAGTTGATTTTCTCTGCATTTATAAACCAACTGATGTCATGGAAAAATTTTATGCCTGAAAATTTAGACATTTGAAACCTAACAGCCTTGATTCTGGTTACAATTACCAGGCATTGGATACTAAAAAAACCTGCAGTTTTCATTTCCTAGTTGTTTAGGTAGCCCAGTCGTCTGAGGCGCCGCGATTCACTGTGCAGAGTTGCGTCCCTTGGGCACTCCAGAAACCTATGATTGTGGTTCGATTCCCGGTTCGCCGGATTATGTTTCTAAGTTTGTCAGCACCATACCCGTGCTCGTGGGTTTCACAGAAGTGGTAAACGCCTGAGACCTGCATCACTTCGGACTTTCCTCCAACATTAATCTGACACGCCGTGATATAACTGGAATATTGTTCAAGGTGGCGTTAAACCCAACTCACTCACTCACTCCTAGTTGTTTACTGCATAGCTTGTATGCAGTCAGAGGCAAAGTTGGAGGACTATTTCTGCACAGTTGTCTCCCTTACTCTGCAAAGCGTTCACTCTGTAATTTTGCATTTTATTCACATAGATATCATATACCGGCATTCCACAAACTGACCATAATTCAAGGAAGTAACCATGGCAACTTAAGCATCCACTTTCATTTTTTGACATATATTTGGGAACAACCCAACTACCATTATTTGGTTCTTCAAATCAGTTCACACCTCAAAGACACTATGGTAACTGGTATTATTTGCCTGATTCATTACATTCTTTATTTAAGGCATACATGAAAAATCTATTTCGGTAAACTTATCTTGCTTTGAAAAGACATTTGGAAAAAAGGGAATGTTGCGATTATGGGAAACATGTGGAATATGACTATTTTCTATGTCACCCACTCACATGAGCATCCAGTAGTAGACTTGAGTTGGTTCATTTTTTAATTTATGCTCTTGGGTCTGGACGACAGACTGAGGGAACGTATGTGATAAAGATTGTTGGAGCATCCAGTAGTAGACTTGAGTTAGTTCATTTTTTAATTTATGCTCTTGGGTCTGGAAGACAGACTGAGGGAACATATGTGATAAAGATTGTTTACTGCATTTGCGCTGAACCTGAAGTGACAGTATATTCTAGTATGTCTAAATTAACATTCATCACTTTATTAAGGCTAAAAAAAAATAGTTTTGGTTCTCAGGCACCGCTCGCATCATCATAAAGTCTGCTGCACGTTTCGTTTTTATTTCCATTTTCAAAAAAAAGAAAGAAAACAATGTAGCACACAGTTACTTCCCTTTACATGCGCACTGCTTTACTGTGCATCTCGTGTTATGGTCATGGCGGCAATAGGAGTTTGTATGCTTGTTTATGTAGGGAGGTGGCCGTATCCTCAAAGGGGGTTGACGTAGTGTAAAATTATTGTCCCCCTGAGAGGATATCGTAAGTCCATGTCATTCAAAGAATATTTCTGCCTACTACTCTTTTAAACGTAGAATATTTGTATTTTTACTTGTGGCTAACTTTGCATACAGTCGCCAGTTGCTGAAGGGATGATGTAAATCCTGCTGGGGTCCATGCAGGTAGCAAAGGTACTGTAAGTCCCCTTGGTCCCCAGTATGGTGGTCTACCTTCTGTTGCTGGCGATCTATAGCCTGTTTTTATAATGTAATGTTATGTATAGTGCTATTGATTTTATGATTACATACTAGTTTTAAATTTATTTCTGTGATAAGTCTAGTTATTTTACTGTCCCTCGTTGGCAGGTTTTTATACAAGTTTCAATGTATGTATTATATTTAACTTTTGATAGTCACGATATGGCTGAAATACTGCCGATGTGACTTAAAATTTTACTCACTCACTCACTTATGTAGGGAGGCCCTTTCCCAGGCTGATGGTACACAACTGTTTATTTGGTTCAATACTAGTTTGAACAAGCAAAAAGAAAAAAATGCCACCACTCGCCCGCACTTTATTTTCAAAAGCCGATGGCTGAAAACCAATACTTTTATTTTATAAGCCTAATGCAATCAAGGGGCACCCAGATTTTGTTTCATTAATGTCATGATTGACTTTATTTGTCAACTTGAAAAAAATTACTATTTTTGAGTCACTGTTCTCTGAGAAAGTTTTTTTAATATTTTTTTATATTTTATTTCTTTTTGGAGTACACAAACAATATGTTTACAGAATATAGTTCACGTGCAATCTTAAATACATACAAGTTACAAAGTATATCTATAGATGATAAGAAACAAAAATTATTCCAGTGTCATATTGTTGGATTGTGCAAGTTCGAGTGAGTTGGGTTTAACGCCGCTTTTAACAGTATTCCAGTTATATCGCGGCGTGTCAGCTTAATGCGGGAGGAAAGCCCAAAGTGATGCAGGTCTTAGACGTTTACCACTTCTGTGAAACCCACGAGCATGGGTATGGTGCTGACAAACCTAGAAACATAATCGGGGCGAACCGGGATTCGAACCCACAATCATAGGTTTCTGGCGTGCCCAAGGGACGCAACTCTGCACAGCGAATTGCGGCGCCTTAGACGACTGGGCCACCCGTGCCCCCGGTTTTAAACGAATAGGTGGTGACAGAGAGACCAAAATGTCATGAACTGTGTGTATTAACATTGTGAAGATGATATATTTCTGTCGATGTAATATGAATCGGTTATTTCTTGTTTGATGTGTGGGAAATTTGGTATGGAGTCGGAAAAGTTTGATTTGAATATGTTTTGCTTTGTTACAGTTATAATATGATTTAATACATCATTTTGTTTTTCTTGATATCCTAATAAAATTGTCAATTTTGAAAGTTCGAGTTCTATTCCAGTTTTGTCTTTGATCCATTTTGTAAGGACGTTCCAGATATGTTTTACAATTTTGCACTCAAAGAACATGTGCACTAAGGTTTGTTTTTCTCGTTTACAAAAATTTGCAAAGAAATGATTCTTTATATCCCATTTTTTACAGTAACTCGATTGTTGGTATAATTCTATGAATTATACTGTATTGGAACCTTTTTTGTTTTGTTTTGTTCTCTGAGAAAGGTAGTTCAAATTTCCACTACTTGCATCTCCTGATGTTTGAGTGTCGTCAACCCATTTGCTGTTTCTGTGCTCCAGAATGCGTTTGTGACCATTTACCTCATCAGTTGTTTCACCAAGCTCATCGACCTGTCCTCCCAGGTCACTAACATGGCTGGCAACGCTCACAGGTCAGTGTGTTACATTGTGTACTACAGGTCACAGGAAGTACCGTACTCGAGTTTTACATTTAGCTTTCACATCTTCGTGTTTCCAATATTTTGGCAATTTCTGGCCTATAAATGAATTACAGCAGCAAGTCCATGACATGTCCGTTTATTTCACTAGTCAGTTGGACCACTTTAAAGTCCTTGTTATTGTTCATGGTTTTTGTGTAGTTGAACACTATATCATCTTCCAGTGACCTCAGTTATTTCATTAGAGTTATAGACCCGTGATGATCCGGGGTAGAATAGGTCTTAGGCAACCCATTCTTGTCGTAAAAGGTGACTATGCTTGTCGTAAGACGCGATTAATGGGATCAGGTTGTCAGACTCGCTGACTTGATTGATCCATGTCATCGTATTCCAATTGCGTGGATCGATGCTCATGATGTCAATCACTGGATTGTCTGGCCAGGCTTGATTATTTACAGATCGCTGTCATATAGCAGGAATATTGCTGAGTGCGGCGTTAAACAACAAACAAACAAACATTTCACTAGTCAGTTGGACCACTTTAAAGTCCTTGTTATTGTTCATGGTTTTTGTGTAGTTGAACACTATATCATCTTGCAGTGACCTCAGTTATTTCATTAGAGTTATAGACCCGTGATGATCCGTGGTAGAATAGGTCTTAGGCAACCCATCTTGTCGTAAAAGGCGACTCTGCTTGTCGTAAGACGCGATTAATGGGATCAGGTTGTCAGACTCGCTGACTTGATTGATCCATGTCATCGTATTCCAATTGCGTGGATCGATGCTCATGATGTCAATCACTGGATTGTCTGGCCAGACTTGATTATTTACAGATCGCTGTCATATAGCAGGAATATTGCTGAGTGCGGCGTTAAACAACAAACAAACAAACATTAGAGTTATAGTCCAGTGTATTTTTCAGGTACTATATGGACAGAGTGACAGATATATAATATTTTATTTGCAATGGGACTTTGTGCATGTTATAGGACTACCGTATTCGACATAATAAGCGCCCCGCTCTAATGAGCGCCCACGGCGATATTTGCTAATATATTGGCAAGTGAACAATCCCAATGAGCACCCTTTCCGATTGATCAATGTACACCAGACTTGTCCATTCGCGTATAATATGCACTCGTGTGTTATATGCACCTTTAATTATGGGCAATTAAATTCTGGAAAAATATATCTGCCGTACATAAACATTCCAGGCTGTCAGCATAAACCACAAAATTTATCTTTCAATTCTGTTTTTTTTTCACCAAAATAATATTTTAATAAGAGCCCGCTATTTCTAATTTTGGGAGCGCCCTGGCGCTTATTACGTCGAATACGGTATGTTTAGGAAGAAACCATAGAAGCATGTACACTGAACGTAGACATTCTTAGAAAAGACAGTTTGTTTCCGGCTGTTTTTATTGACTGTTGGATATTGGGCATAGTTGTCTCCATGTATGTGTCATCTCATCTTCCCGAGGCAAGCGATTCCACTAGCCTGTATCAAAGCCTAGTTAACAAGACTTCGATACAGGCTAGTGGACGCTCTTGCCTCGGTAAGATGGTCTCATCACAACCTGTATATTTCTGCCAGGGTTGGAGAGCTGTTTGAAGTGCTGGGTCGGTTAAAGGATGCACAGTCCGAGGACTACAGTTTCCTGGAGGAGACAATGCCCAGGTGAGACCAATGGCAGACAGGTACTGAAACTGTCCTTGTTCGGGAGATCCAGTTTTTTTATCCCCCCAACAAATAATGACTGTACTGCTCTTGTCCGGAGCATATTTCCTAAACCGTGCAACCTAGCTTCACAAAACTTGGTACACTTACCAGTCAGGCTCAGTAGCAGTGCCTTTTTCTGTTTAGAGATTTTTAGAATTTTTTATTTTTGTCGTTTTTTTTAGGAAATATGCTGAACTTAGGAAATTTGAGGGTACTGCTCTTGTCCGGAGCATATTTCCTAGACCATACAACTTAGCTTCTCAAAACTTTTTACACCTATCAAGCAGGTTATGTAGTGGTGTCTTTGCTATTAACAGATTTTTTCTTTTTTCAATTTAAATTGAAAATTGGTGGACTTAGGGTAATGGTCTCGTCTGGAGCATATATTCTAAACCATGGGACAGAGATTCACCAAACTTTATGCAAATATCAATCATGTTCACTAGAAGTGCAGTTTGTTATTTATAGATTTTAATCTTTTTAATTTGTAGCCCCTGACATATGATTCTAAGGTGTACTATTTACCGATATCATATACTATATATGATGTGAGCTACATAACCTAGTACATTCTCTTTATGCCTTTGTGTCATGAGGCTACTACAGAGCTATTCATATGCAAATCTGCGAAGTTATTGTTATTCCAATTTCATGAGATCATGAGAAAGTGAGCTACATGAACCAATATTTAATAACCTTCATTATATTTCTGGTTTTGGCATCAAGGAAAAAGATTTCCTTGCCATCTAAATACATTTGAAGGTACACACAGTTTACCGACATGCCACGTCGGGGGGATATGTCATCTTCGGATGACTCTTGTTATAAATTGCAGGTGATTCATAGCTTTTGATTGGTTAACCAGATTATTTGTTTGCATTTATGTGACCATAAACCTAATAACAAGATAGGCCATGCCCACTAACAGACTACTGCTTCCTGATTGGCTGATAATAGAGTGGGAGGGGCTTGTGTTGCATTATTGCACTGATCAAGGTAATTTATTTTCTATTGTCTACAGTTGATGATTAAATAAGCAGTGTAAGTTTCTATTGTTTGCTACGTGGATTTAAACAGTGTGCACACCCATTTTTATGTTAATGTATCCATAAATGTTAATTCTTATATAGACAAAATATCAAAGACCTCAAAAGTGGCAATGACTTATGATAATGGTTATTTTTTTTAGGAAAGATCCTCCGTAACTCCTCATTGTCTCATATTGTATTTTAGCACATGATGGAAATATATGATTTTTCAGTTGTCGATATTTCCTTTGGGCGGCCATTTGGTTAAAAAATACATCAACTGAAATACAGATCACCTGTATGCAATAATATGAATACACGATTTAGAAAGTGGTCAAATGTAACATGGGATTCAACCCCCAAACGTACTGGAATTTGTAATTTACTAAGAAAGTAGTATCCCAAATATAACATTTGTTACATTTGACCACTTTCTAAATGGCATTGTGTATTCATAGCTTTGAGCCATGAGAGCCATGCCAATTTACACTTGACGGAGGGGTACACAAAGTATGTGATCTAGACTACCAGTTGTCAGAATTTCATTTTTGTGGATCGCTGACTTTGTGTGCTGGCGATTAGGTGCCTCACTCTGGCAGTGTGGGTTCGAATCCTGGATGGGACTCAACCCCAAATAGTACAAGAATTTGTACTTTACTAAGAAAGTGTTATCCCAAATATGTTATTTGTTATATGCAATAACAGTCAAATGTTATGAGTAAAGTATTAACTTTAATGTGTTCTGTCTGTTTAAGAATTAACATTTACAGAGATATGAATGTAAAAACCTGTGTGCTCACTGGGAAAATCACTGCACTTGTCTGTCTGTCTTGCGGAGATGTCGCTTGGGTCATATCAAAAGATGTCACTCCATGAAATTGCATCACAATTGCAAACTGTTGTGACTTCATTGGTTGCCATGACATCACAATAAAATTAAATCCCTGATCTCTCTGCCTCTGAAGCTGGCTGGGGGGCATGGGTGGCCCAGTCGTCTAAGGCGCCGCGATTCGCTGTGCAGAGTTGCGTCCCTTGGGCATGCCAGAAACCTATGATTGTGGGTTCGAATCCCGGTTCGCCCCAATTATGTTTCAAGGTTTGTCAGCACCATACCCGTGCTCGTGGGTTTACCAAAGTGGTGTAACGTCTGAATCCTGCACCACTTCGGGCTTTCCTCCCACATTAAGCTGACATGCCATGATATAACTGGAATACTGTTAAAAGCGGCGTCAAACCCAACTCACTCACTCACTGTCTGTCTTGCACCTGTCGTCTGCTCCAGTTCTGATCTGGTGCCTCTCTCTGACGTTAACCTTGACACTGACAGAGAATTCCTTGAGGGTGCGGCTGACACAGTGTCCCAGACAAACATGGCGCTCAGACTGCAGGATGTCACATATGGTCCACCAAAGTCATCCCAAATACTGTGTAGAAGTGAGTACTAGACATCTGCACGGAGAGCACAAGGTTGGCGATTTGATCCCTGGGCATGTGTTAAAAAGAAACCCCGTTAAAAGATGGTGCTTAATTACCCTGCCTGGCGCTCCGGATTAAGGGGATGAAAACAGGACTGCCTGGTGGGGTATCGTTGGGGTATTAATGTTAAACTATGACTTGGTATCTGTGTGGGCTAGCACTATAAAACCATGATGAGTGCAGACTAAAGTACTCACGGAAATGAAAAAAAACGTTTTTCTCAATTTAAAAATCGACACAAAGTGTTACGTCGCTGTAAATACAAAATAACAAAACAACTCGAAAAGTACTAGTCTGGATTTGCTAGTTTGATCTCAGTGAACAATACAAAATGTACTTTACAGGAGGTAATTTGTCGTCACTTTCAACATTCAAAAATAAAACTAAGTCCAAATTGACATAGCAGAAACAGACTATAGGCATTATGCACCTGTTCTCACATGTCGTCAAGGTGTCATAGGTCATGGACATTCACCTTGATCTACTTACACCTGGTTATGCCCTGTTTCACAATAGTCTGTTTTATTCACATTTTTACACACTTTTACTTGTAAAAAGGCATAAAAACCTTTGATACGCTGTATTTGTGCCAAGGCCCAATTAGTACTAATTGAGTTGTTTGAATATTTACATATTTTGTATATTAACTGCATTTATTTAAGATCTGAGGTCGAAATTTATTTTTTTTCATTTCAGTGAGTACTTTAGTACAAGCACGCACACGCACACGCACACGCACACGCACACGCACACACTCATGCACACGCACACGCACACGCACACGCACACACTCATGCACACACACTCAAAACATAGTGCAGTATAAGTGCATTAATCTTGATCATGACATTAAACCCCATTTCACCCCACCTCATCCAGAAGTGAGTACAGAAAAAGTCGAGAAGGGATATAGGAATTGGTGCTGTCTGTCCTTCCGACTGTCACATTTTGTTTCCAGATCAGAACTCAAAAACCATGAGAGATATCTTAGCAAACTTGGCACATTGATAGGTCTAGTGGTGAACTGGTGCCTTTTGATTGTTGGGGATTTTAAAAAAAATTATTTTTCAAGTTTCCTTGGCAACGACTTGGACTCGGACTGAAAATGGCGGTAGTGCGCCTTTCCAGAGCAGATCTTGAAAAACGTACAATATGTTTTCACCAAACTTGACACATAAATAGGTCTAGTGGTATACTGATGTCATTTGAAAGTTTTCAAAAACATTTCAAGTTTCCATAGCACCGACTCTGACTTTGAAATTGGCGGAAGTGCTCGTTTCCGGAGGGCTAATGCCTTGCACTCAAGCGGACATGTCTTATTGGTGGGGGATATGATTCATGCTTGCTTTACTTAAGTGCCTCCTCCCCAACCTGCACCCTGAATATCAAATAGTCTCTTCGTGCCATACTGTCATTGGGGTAAAATTGAGTCGTTGTAGCTGTTTTTTTAATTAATTAATTCATTCATTAAATGCCAGATTCATCTATTGATGTAATATTCTAGCCTGCAGACAAAGGAGCTGTTTGGTGACCTGAATCATATGTAGTGGGACTGCCGATCGCCTGGGCCAAGCTATTGTAATGGGTGTCGTTAATGTGTTCTTTAAGATTTCATTTTGTTACTGATGGTTATAAGGTAAATCATTCAAACCATTTATATTCATGTGTCTGTTTCTTTTAGAACTTAGGTCTTCAGCAACCCATGCTTGCCTTAAAAGGTGACTGTGCTTGTCATAAAAGGCGACTAACGGGATCGGGTGGTCAGGCTCGCTGACTTGGTTGATGCATGTCATTGATCCCAATTGCATGGATCGATGCTCATATCAATCACTGGATTGTCTGGTCAGACTTGATTATTTACAGACCGCCGTCATATAGCTGGAATATTGCTGAGTGCGGCGTTAAACAACAAACCAACCAATCTTTTAGAACTCTTTGCTCTCAGCCATCATCCGACTAATTCCAGAAATCACAACTGATTCTGTGGTCTATTTACAAGCCTGTTCTGTTGGATGTGTTTAGATCTGAATTTCCAGCTGGAGAGCGGGATCAACATCCTGGTTACGGGTGACAGTGGTTGTGGGAAGAGCTCCCTGCTTCGAGTCATCAATGGCCTGTGGTCAAGCATTACTGGTACGTTTCTTTTTATACCCCCGACAAAATGTCAGGTGTATATAGTTATACCAAGGTTCCGTCTGTCCGCCTGTCCGTCCGCGCAATTTCTCTTAAACTATTCAGTGGATTCATCTCAAACTTAGTACATATAATCTGTGTCATATGGAGGGGTAGTCAAAAGAAAAAAATTGTTTTTATTAATTTTTTCATTTTTTTATGAATTTTTCAAACCCTAACGTCCATCCGAAAACTTTGTCCGCGCGATTTCTCTTAAACTATTCAGTGGATTCATCTCAAACTTAGTACATGTAATCTGTGTCATATGGAGGGGTGCAGTCAAAAGAAAAAAATTGTTTTTATTAATTTTCCACTTTTTTTAATGAATTTTTCAAACCCTAACGTCACGCTCACTTGTGCACTTGTTAAATATTCCCCTGGTTAAGCGATTAAAATATATCCCTTGAAAAAAATATTTTGTACATGTGGTGATATAGATATCTGGTCGATACCTTTAAGGAAGAGGGGTGGTCGGGTAGCCTAGTGGGTTAAGCGTTCGCTCTTCATGCCAAAGACCTAGGTTCGATTCCCCACATGGGGATATTGCTGGAATATTGCTATAAGCAGTGTAAAACCATACTCACTCACTCACTCAGAAAGAGTTCAGCCAAATGGAAATTAGAGTTACCGTTTCTGTAATGGTCCAGGCATGGAAAATGATTATGATCCATGACTTGTAAGGACCATGCATATTCCTACTCATGAATGAACGGTTACACTGAGATGGTAACATGACTGTTAGGCTTCAAAAAATAAAAGAATTGGTTCTCAGGCAATATCTTTTGAAAACACAGTGCGGGCGGGGGATGGTGGTTTTTTTGCTTGCTCAAACTAGTATGTAAGCAAATAAACAGTTGTGTACCATCAACCTGGTAAAGGGCCTCCCTACATAAACAAGCATACAAACTCCTATTGCTGCCATGACCATAACACGAGATGTGCAGTTAAGCAGTGTGCATGTAAAGGGAAGTAATGTTGTGCTACATTGGATCACATTGTTTTTGAGTTTTAGGATTTCTTTCTTTTTTTAAAAATGGAAATAAAAACGAAATGTGCGCAGTAAAGCAGTGAGCATGTAAAGGGAAGTAACTGTGTGCTATATTGTATCGCATTTGTTTAAGTATTCGGATTTTGACTTTGATTTTAAAATGGAAATAAAAACGAAATGTGCAGCAGACTTTATGCTGATGCGGGCGGTGCCTGAGAACCAAGACTATTATTATTGTTATTGTTGTTCTTCTTTTTATTGTTCTTGTTGTTGTCATCATCATCATCATCATCATCATTATTATTTCCCACATGAAGCTGACATGCCATGGTATTACTGAAATACTGTTCATGATGATGTAAAATACAACCATGTTTTGCAGGACATGTCGCGAGAGGATCCAAGGCTGTGTTCTACCTACCCCAGAGGCCATACTTCACTGACGGTACTCTGAGGGAACAGGTATGTATTTGTGTTACAAACACGTTTATTACTTTGGGTCCTGAAGTATTGATTATAAAAGTATGGAAAGTTGTTAAGGTGGATAAAGTCAATCCTTCTTGATGGTGTTGTGGGGCGCAGTGGAGTACCCTCGTGGTTAAAACGTTCGCTCGTCACGCTGAAGGCCCGGGTTCGATTCCCCACTTTGGCACAAACCATAGTCACCCACTCACTCTACAGTGTGTGTGGCAGTATAGACGTGCTAGACATGTTGCAAGTAATTTAAGTCTAATACATTCATCCCTTCCCTGGAATATTTGCTAAACGCGGCGAAAAACAATACTCAGTCACTCACTCTTCAGTGTGTGTGGCAGTATGACATGACCATCTCTTTCCGAGGCAAGAGAGTTAACTGACTTTAAAAGTCAAGTTTCCACCCTCGCCGAACTTGGCTGGAATTACTGGGCTCGATCGTAGCGCCACCAGTGGCTATTACCAGTCATGTTCCTTCTAAGCCTCTACTATGGACCAATCAGATTCCACCTCTCATATCACTTCTGTTTGCTTCACACAAAATGGTGGCGCCCGGTCAGTTAGATCTGATCGACAATCAAGATCTATATTCTGATAAAACGGGTCTTACATCGCGAAATGCATCAAATCACGTGAGCACCTTGATTAAAAACATGAAAACATTTGGAAAATATCTGCTGACAACGAGTTGGCGGTGGACATGCTTTGCAAATCCTGCAATCAAACGAAATCTGTATGACAGTGTGACGAACCGAATTTCGATTTCGGTGCGCAATTTTGATTGGACTATGCATTGACTCGTTAGTCCAGCCAAAATGTAACTCCATAATACTAGCCTAGTTCGGCAAGGGGGGGCACGGGTGGCCCAGTCGTCTAAGGCGCTGCAATTCGCTGTGCAGAGTTGCGTCCCTTGGGCACGCCAGAAACCTATGATTGTGGGTTCGAATCCCAGTTCGCCCCAATTATGTTTCTAGGTTTGTCAGCACCATACCCGTGCTCGTGGGTTTCACCGAAGTGGTAAACATCTGAGACCCGCATCACTTCGGGCTTTCCTCCCACATTAAGCTGACACGCTGTGATATAACTGGAATCCTGTTAAAAGCGGCGTTAAACCAAACTCACTCACTCACCCACTAGTTTGGCAAGGGTGGAAACTGGACTTTTATAGTCAGTTAACTCACTTGCCTCGGGAAGATGGACATGACAGACATTAAGTAATTCAAGTCTATTCTATGTGCATTCCGTCCCTCCCATTTAATCAGTAGATTACTGAATGATTTTGAGTGTTGTAGCAACTGTTTATTACAGTGCAAACATTTCATAGAACAATTTTTCATTCTGAACTTGAGGTCTTTTTGTTTATTGCCAGGGTAACTGAATACATTTTCTGTTTAATTTTGAACTAACATTTACAATTTATTCTGTGGTTAAGAATGCATATTATTTCTTCCAGATCATATACCCTTTGAGGAGTGATGAATGTGTTCAACGTGAGTATTGTGTAGTGGTAGTTTAGTACTTTCAAGCACACTGATCACTCTTTTACTGTGTTTTCTTGTGCAGTCCACTCTGAATAAAAGACCAGAAGGCCAGTGTTGATAGCGTCTGCTGTCGTATTAAATAGGACTAAATAACAATTTATCATCCGAAACTGGCTCCCGCAAGAGATATCGCTTGGATGAGATCAAGCGATATGTACACTGTAGATATCGCTGCAATGAAATTACATCACAATGCTTTGCAGATCATTGTGACGTCACTGGTTACCATGACGTCTCAATCAAATGACATCACTAATGGCTCTGCTACTGAAGCTGTTTGCAGTACTTTTTACACTGAAGTTGAAAGAATGATGTTGGATGATAAATAAAATCTCTCCCTCGTGTCTGTTGATTCAAATATATCAACACTAGGTGATATAAGTGGCAAAAATCTTCGGCAAGCCTCAGAATTTTTCCACTTTTATCAACTCGTGTTGATATATTTGATATCAAAAGACACTTGGGTGAGATTCTCTATTTGTCGCTTACCTCTGACATTTATTTCTTTGTCATATAGATGTTACCAAGCGTCACTAGATCCACACCAGGCTTCTGTAGAATAATTAACGGGACCTCTTTAGGCATTAAGTTTTTGTGGAATTTCACAGCCACCGCCAGCAACTTTTCACTGCCACCGCCAGCAACTTTTCACTTGACTGCTAGATGTTATTGACATCAGAGATTATTTTTCCATGGCCTCCTTCAAATGGCCCTGGAAAATTCGTTTGGCACCTTTCATGGAAATGTCAAAGGTCAAGGTTATGAGAATAAACTAACAAAGATGGCTGTGGTAATACATTCTCAAAACTTGTTAATGCAATTAACATTAAGCATGGTATGTACCTTCTCTAGGATGGAGTCTGCTTTGAAAACATTTTGGTCAAGATTAGACAAAGGTCAAGGTCAGTGTTCAGCTTTCAAATTTTGTACAGCTAGACCATATCATTGTCAGTTTCTGAGGCGTGGTTACCTCCACAGGCATGGAACTTTATTTTGCATATTTCTTTGGGAGTCCTACCACATCAAATGTCAATTGAAGTAATAACAAAAGTCAAGGTCTCCTTTGAGGAAACTTACAACTGTAGTTGTATCAAATGTACTCGTGAATATGGCGCAAAGACTGACATTAGAGGATTTCCTAATAGGGTCTTACTTCACATGGACCTAGGCAGTGCCGTAGCCAGCCAGGGGGTGGGGGGGGGCAGGGGGGGCAGTTGCACCCCTGGATTTTTTATAGAAAACATTTTTCCTTGTGAAAGTTAACTTGAATAAGAAATGAATAATCGTATTTGCCCCCCCCTGTCAAAAAAAGTTAACTACGGCCTTGACCTAGGGAAGTCTTTTGTGAAGGTCAAAGAGATAAAAATCATTTTTGAGTGTGTCTTTACAAATCCTACCACACATGATGTTGGTGCTATGTCTATCAAAGGTCAAGGTCAACTGTATAATTTGCTGTTAATTGCTGCAATTTTTGACTTGCACAATCCTAAGACATTGGTGATTGTTAAATCTTAAGAAGGTGTCTTAATGAAGGTCTGGAAGCAATGATTTTGGACTAGAATATTCCTGAGTGTGGAGTTAAGCACTAAACCAACCAATGGATCCAAAGTACATTGTGAAACAATGCTGTATCATTTATTATCAGTTTGCTCGTCACGCCGAAGACCCGGGTTCGATTCCCGACATGGGTACAACAGGGTATGAAACTCCCAAAACTTTCAGCCAGACCACAGAACTGGCTAGCTGAAATACTTGCCAGCCCTGACCAAAACCTGCCTGCCCACTATAATCATATGTTTCTCAGGATAAGCTAACAGGGTTTCTTTTTGGTTACATTTTATCATTCATCTTTACATGTGAATTAATGCTTATCATCGGGAAATATTTTGAATATTTTCACATATGAAACATAACCCGACCGTCGGGCAGGGGGATTTGAAAATCTGGCAGCCCGAGTTGAAATCAACCCGTCTCGGACGGTCGGGCAGGCAGGTATTTCGAACACTGGGGTACAATGTGTGAAGCCCATTTCTGGTGTCCGCCGCCGTGATATTGCTGGAATATTGATAAAAGTGGCGTAAAACCATATACACTCACTCACTATTATCAGTTAATTACTTTTGCACATTTATTTGCCCAATCCTGAGACTTAGGTGATTGTTGGTTCTTAAAGTTGTCTCATTAAGGTCCAAGTCTGGAAGTTGTGATTATGGACTGGAATGTTGCTGAGTGTGGCGTTGAACATTAAGCTAACCAATGGACTCAAAGTACATTGTACATGCGACCCGTGAAGATCCGGGGTAGAATAGGTCTTCAGCAACCCATACTTGCTGTAAAAGGCGACTATGCTTGTCGTAAAAGGCGACTAACAGGATCGGGTGGTCAGGCTCGCTGACTTGGTTGATAAATGTCATCGATCCCAATTGCGTAGATTGATGCTCATGATGTCAATCACTGGATTGTCTGGTCCAGACTCGATTATTTTACAGACCGCCGTCATATAGCTGGAATATTGCTGAGTGCGGCGTTAAACAAACAAACAAACAAACAAACATTGTACATGCCCCATGGACATGGTCTACTGGTGCAATAACATTTTAAGCTTTGAGGAAATGCTGGCTTGTGGGTCTGTTTCTGTGGTTAGTAAATGCCACCACCTCTAGTTGATCCTCCGTTCCTCAGTTCTTCCTGTTTGTCGTTAGAGATGACTCACAATGGCTGGTGAAAGATGATCTGAGGAAGGACTACCGGTATGCATCATTCATCTGTAACCTGTCTGTTTCCCAATACCTCATGGTCTGAACATCGGTCATGCTATTAACTCACTGTGCCCTCTGACCATGCTGATAACTGCAACTGCTTAAAGCACCTCATACCCGTGAAGATCCGGGGTAGAATAGGTCTTCAGCAACCCATGCTTGCCGTAAAAGGCGACTGCTTGTCGTAAAAGGCGACTAACGGGATCGGGTGGTCAGGCTCCCTGACTTGGTTGATGCATGTCGTCAATCCCAATTGTGTGGATCGATGCTCATGATATTAATCACTGGATTGTCTGGTCCAGACTCCATTATTTACAGACTGCGGTCATATAGTTGGAATATTGCCGAGTGTGGCGTTAAACAACAAACCAACCAACCAACCAACCAACCAACCAAACCAACTCACTTGCAGGATGACTCACCCACCTGCCCACCGTAATCTAGGCTTCAAAGCATGTGGCTACCAGGCGTATATGTTCCGCATGTTAAGAACAGGCAATACAAATTGTGCCAGATTTTACTCATGAAAAGAATTCAAAAAGAAAAAAAACCAGCACAATTTACCCAAGTTTAATTTATTACAAGTACTAGGAACATAAAAAATTGTGAGATATAGAGGTATTATTTATTTTGAAATTTCTGACAATTTGTAGATTGCAACGAAGAATTGGTTAGTGAATATTACAACAGTTTTAATGTTCATTCACCATTTTCCCGGGGGCACGGGTGGCCCAGTCGTCTAAGGCACCGCGATTCGCTGTGCAGAGTTGCGTCCCTTGGGCACGCCAGAAACCTATGATTGTGGGTTCGAATCCCGGTTGCCCCAATTATGTTTCTAGGTTTGTCAGCACCATACCCGTGCTCGTGGGTTTCACCGAAGTGGTAAACGTCCGAGACCTGCATCACTTCGAGCTTTCCTCCCACATCAAGCTGACACGCCGTGATGTAACTGGAATCCTGTTAAAAGTGGCGTTAAATCCAACTCACTCACTCACTCACTCACCATTTTCCCGAGGCAAGGGAGTTAACTGACTGTAAAAGTCCCATTTCCACCCTTGCCGAGCTAGGCTGACATTTCGTGGCTCGAACATAGCGCCACAAGAGGATGTCCCTTCTATGTCCCTCCTACTGACCAATCCGATTCCACCTATCAAATTCTTTGCATTTCCTTCAAACAAAATCATGGTGTCCAGTCATGACAAACTGATCGGTAATCAAGATCTATGTTGTTATAAAACGGGTCTAACCTTATTCAGTGCATCAAAGTACTTAAGCACCTTGATTTAAAACATGAAACGATTTGGAAAATATCTGTCACACCCAGTTGAAGGTACAAATGCTTTGCAATTCCTGCAATCAGCAAAAATCTGCACAACAATTTATGGATCAGATGTTAATTTCGTTGCACATTTTTGATTGGACGATGCATAGACTCGTCAGTCCAGCCAAAATATAACTCCATAATTCCAGCCTAGTTTTGCAAGGGTGGTAACTGGACTTCTATAGCCAGTAACTTCCTTGACTCATGAAGATGGAAAAGACACAACAATTTAGATGTTTAGAATTTTGATTCAAAAGTCGTCCTCAGGTTTGACAAAAGAAATAAATCGTATAATGGACATGCTGTACATCTTGAACAAGAATGTGTTTTGATTTGTTCTTCACTCACTCACTCAGTCACTAACATGTTATCTAATATCTATGTTGTTTTCTGTTGAGAAACCCACATTCCCCCGAGTATAATTCTGTCCATACCATACCTGTACACATGGGTTTCACCAAAGCGGTAAACATCTAAGACCTGCATCACTTTGGACTTTCTTTCTCCATCAAAATTACTCTCTATGATACAACTGACATATTGTTCAAAGTGGTCTTACACCAAAAGCAATCACTCACTCTCAGCATACCAAGATTTTCATTAAGAAGATGATATGGTATTTTTACAATCATTAATAGATATCCTATCAAAGGCAATGTCTACAACTTGTATTTTCAGGATAAAAATCCTGAAAATTAGAGAACGAAGCTTAACATTGAGAGTGATGTTCATGTTCTCCCTGGAAACAGGTGTAATTGAATAAAGTGGACTTGTGAAGGTTCACAGAAATATAAGGCTAAAAAAATAATGGTTCTCAGGCACCGCCAGCATCATCATAAAGTCTGCTGCATGTTTATTTTTGTTTCCATTTTCCCCAAAAATATAAGAATCCTAATTCTTCAAAACAATGCAATCCAATAGAGCATGCAGTTACTTCCCTTTACATGTGCACTGCATATGGTAATGGCGGCAATAAGTCAGTTCTATTACTGTATACGACATAATAAGCGCCCAGAGCGCTCTCAAAATTAGAAATAGGGGGCTCTTATTAGAATATTATTTTGCTGGAAAAAACAGTTGAAAGATAAATTTCGTGGTTTATGCTGACAGCCTGAAATGTTATATACGACAGATATATTTTTCCAGAATTTAATTGCCCATAATTAAGGGTGCATACACGAGTGTGTATTATACGCGAATAAGTAAGTCTTGTTTACATTGATCAATCGGAAGGGGTGCTAATTGGGATTGTTCAATAGCAAATATATTAGCAATTATCGCCGTGGGCGCTTATTAAAGCGGGGCGCTAATTACGTCGAATACAGTATTTTTTTTAAGCCTAAGCCAGTTTAAATATATTTTTTTCTGTTGGGTTTCATTTGACCGGTAAGTCACATGCATAAGATTTGATATGTTCATTCAGCTTTAAGACTTTTTGGACCAAGGTCATGAGTATCTAATTCACCTTTGACCTATCAACTTAATTTATGAATGTCAATGTTCACATTCTGAACTTGCACACTGTTTTTCAGATGATGACAAGATGTACCAATATCTAGATTTGGTAGGTCTGAAATACCTGATTGACAGGATTGGAGGGCTTGATGTTGCTGTGGACTGGAACTGGTAAGTTTTATAGGGTGATTGTTCCACTGCTGAGATAAAAACAATATGCTTGGTTATTAGGTGAGGTGAAGTGAAATGGGGTTTAACGTCGCGTCCAAGATTGTTGCACTTATTTAGCGATGTGGATGTGTGTGGGGGTGGGGTGTGCTTGCCCAGACTAGTGTTGATTTTTATAGTGCTAGCCCACTGAGATACCATGCCGCAGTTTAACATGAATACCCACTCAGACACAGTATACTGACCCTGAGCCCACCAGTGCTTGTTATGTTGATTGCCATGCAGGCAGGGTAACGACAAGTACCATCTTTTGACATCTTTTGGTATGACGCGGCTTGGGATCAAACCCCAAACCATCCACTCTCTGGGCGTACGCTCTACCACTACACCACGGAGGCGGTCACATAGGTTGGAGATCACTATAAAGAGGAATATTTAGACACATAGGTTGGAGGTCATTATTAAGGGGAATATTTAGACACATAGGTTGGAGGTCATTATTAAGGGGAATATTTAGACACATAGGTTGTGTGTGTGTGTTTTGGAGGCAGTCTCTGGTCATGAATAAGTGCGAAAAATAAAATAGGGATTTTGACATCTGTTCACTGGCAAGTAATTTCCTAAATAATTTGATGCAGACTATACATACTATAGTCATTAATGTTACATAATATTTCAAGAGAATAAACAAGAGGAACTATTCCTTCCTTCCTTCTACAGTGTGACAGATTTACATGTAATGGTAGGATGGTTCATCTATGAGCATATTTGTTACCTCCCCTTGTACTGTTGTCTACAAGCTCCTCACAGCAGTGTCAGTTCGCTGAGCTCTCTGTACTCTCTCACTGCCACCAGTCATAGCTTGCCACTGCGACAGGCAGCCACAACCATGCATGGAGCTGGGCTTACAACTGACCATCTTCCCGAGGCAAGAGAGTTAACTGCCATTAAAAGTCCAGTTTCCACCCTTGCCGAACTAGGCTGGAATTCCTGGGCTCGATCGTAGCGCCACCAGTGGCTATTACGAGTTATGTCCTTTCTATGCCTCTCCTATTGACCAATCAGATTCAACCTCTCGTATCACTTGCATTTGCTTCAAGCAAAACGGTGGCGCCCAGTCAAGACGATCAAGATCTATATTGTGATAAAACGAGTCTTACATCGCGAAGTGCATCAAATCACGTGAGCACCTTGATTAAAAAGCATGAAAAGATTTAGAAAATATCTGTTGACAATGAGTTAGCGGTGTACATGCTTTGCAAATCCTGCAGTCGACTGAAATCTGCATGACACTTTACGAACCGGATTTCAATTTCGGTGCGCGATTTTGATTGGACTATGCATAGACTCGTTAGTCCAGCCAAAATGTAACTCCATAATACCAGCCTAGTTCGGCAAGGGTGGAAACTGGACTTTTATAGTGAGTTAACTCCCTTGCCTCGGGAAGATGACAACTGACAGACTGTTTTGTTTACAAACCAGTGCTGGGTGTCATGACAACAAATACTCTCCCCCAGCTAAATTAGTTAACTCCCTTGTATGTAGCCACCTGTGTACTACATATTTATCTCCATACTTTTCACAGGTATTGTTGATAACACATGTAAATTCTCTGTTATGCTCTGCCTAGTTGGAGGGGCATTCGGGTAACCTAGTGGTTAAGGTGTTAACTCGTCACGCTGAAGCCCAAGGTTCGATTCCCGACATGGGTACAATGTGTGAAGCCCATTTCTGGTGTCCCCCACCATGATATTGCTGGAATATTGCTAAAAGCTGTAAAACTATACTCTCTCACTCACTCACTCACTCTCTGTTATACTCTGCCTAGTTGGAGGGGCGGTCAGGGAGCCTAGTGGTTAAGGTGTTAACTCGTCACACTGAAAACCCGGGTTCGATTCCCCACAAGGGTACAATGTGTGAAGCCCATTTCTGGTGTCCCCCGCCGTGATATTGCTGGAATATTGCTAAATGCGGCGTAAAACCATACTCACTCACTCACTCACTCTCTGTTATACTCTGCCTAGTTGGAGGGTCGGGTAGCCTAGTGGTTAAGGTGTTAACTCGTCACACTAAAAACCCGGGTTCGATTCCCCACAAGGGTACAATGTGTGAAGCCCAGTTATGGTGTCCCCACGCCGTGATATTGCTGGAATATTGTTAAAAGCGGTGTAAAATGATACTCACTCACTCTGCTTCGTTGGGTTTCTAGGGTAAAATTGGACCTCAGAAACCAATGCTTGTTGTAAGCGTTGAATACAGTGGATCAAAGGTCGGACTTGGATTGTGGTCATGCTGTCAGTTACTTGATTGCCAGGTCAACATATAGAAATATATCTGACTGCAGCGTTAACTTATAACGTATACAACATATACTCACTCAGTAACTCCTAGATCTCTACTTCTTAAAGGGTGTATTGACTTATGGGAAAGATTTGGTTTGGTTTGGTTTAGTTTGTTGTTTAACGCCGCACTCAGCAATATTCCAGCTATATGACAGCGGTCTGTAAATAATCGAGTCTGGACCAGACAATCCAGTGATTCATATCATGAGCATCGATCCGCGCAATTGGGATCGATGACATGCATCAACCAGCGAGCCTGACCACCCGATCCCGTTAGTCGCCTTTTACGACAAGCATAGTCGCCTTTTACGGCAAGCATAGTCGCCTTTTATGGCAAGCATAGTTGAGTAAAGATAAAGCTTCAGTCAACTTCATGTTCAATTCCCAATCAGACATTTTGTTCCCCACTTTTGAGACCTACAGTGGGTACCCAGGTAGGGTCGGGTAATAGGGGGTCGGGTACCGTGCAATAAATTTGGACTCATCCCAGCCCTAATAGGTTGCCCACCAAGTCAAAAGTCCCTACTCCATCCTCAGATCCCCCCACATCCACCGTGCCGCCCGGGTGTACGCAGACACGGGGAGGTACACGCAGACACGGGGAGGTACACGTAGGGGAGCAGACCCAGACACAGCGTCACAGACAACTTCAACACCATCCCTACAGTCAACCCCTGCAACAATCCATATGGATCAAATAATGCACAACACTCACTGATGTTGACCTGAAATTCTGGGAGACTCAAAGTAGATGGGCAAAATGACACCGCTGCAAATTTCACTTGTGAAGTATTGAATTCATCCAAATGAGTTATCTTTTATCCCCCCAGCATATAATGCGGGGGGGATATAGCGATCAGCCAGTCTGTCCGTCCGTCCGTCTGCCCGTCTGTCCGTCCGTAATCATTTCCTTTTCCGGGGCAGAATTCCAAAACCATTCAGTGTATTTGATCGAAACTTGGCAAAGCTATCAGGCACATACTGAGTGGTGCCTTTTGATATTTTGGGATTTTTCTAATTTTTATTTTTAATTTTTTTATGGAATGATGTTTGACATAGTCTCAATTGGGGTTTGGGTTCGTTTCAGGGGCAGAATTCCAAAACCATTCAGTGTATTTGATCGAAACTTGGCAAATCTATCAGGCACATACTGAAATGGTGCCTTTTGATAAAAGATTTTTTACAAATTTATATTTTTTACAATTTTTATGGAAAGAAGTTGGACCTAGACTCCATTGGGGAACGGGTTCGTTTCCGGGCCAGAATTCGAAAACCATTCAGTGGGTAAACAATGTATGCTTCTTAAAGAACATTCAACTGTGGACTCACTTCATAGAGAATTGCACATTTACTAGTGCTTACTTTACAGACAGCTGCAGGGGGGATATGTCATCTTTCTGATGACTCTTGTTAAAGGCTTAAAAAATAATAATAATTTGTGTTCTTGTTGTCTCCCAGGTATGATGAGCTGTCCCCGGGAGAGATGCAGAGGCTGGCCTTCGTCAGACTGTATTATCATCAGCCTCCTTTTGCAGGTTAGAAGTTATGTTCTTTCAGTTTTACTATTCGCTTGTTGCCATCACTTCACTTACCCTAATGCCAACGGGGGCACGGGTGGCCCAGTCGTCTAAGGCACCGCGATTCGCTGTGCAGAGTTGCGTCCCTTGGGCACGCCAGAAACCTATGATTGTGGGTTCGAATCCCGGTTGCCCCAATTATGTTTCTAGGTTTGTCAGCACCATACCCGTGCTCGTGGTTTTCACCGAAGTGGTAAACGTCTGAGACCTGCATCACTTCGGGCTTTCCTCCCACATTAAGCTGACACGCCGTGATATGACTGGAAAATGATATGACTGTTAAAAGCGGCGTTAAACCCAACTCACTCACACCCTAATGCCAACAGGCTCACTGCAGATGGCTGCAAAACTGCTGATGCTACGTAATACAATATTTGCTTGATCGCTCGTACCCCTTTTCAAGTTGACCACAGACTGACAACTTTTCACATTAAATGTTGACTTGTGCAGGTTTCTGAAGCCTGTGATTATTCTGGAATAGCTCCCCAGTGACCTGTGAGTGTCCTGGGTGACCTGGCTGATGGCTCCAGGGTGTCATCATGCACAGACGTTGTGGATTGTTGATGCCATCGACCACTTGTTTGCCTGGGCATATGTGATTTTATATAGTTATACCAAGGTTCCGTCCATCTCTCCCTCCGTCCATCAACTTTGTCCGCACGATTTCTCTTAAACTATTCTGTGGATTCGTCTCAAACTTAGTACATATAATCTGTGTCATATGGAGGGTTGCAGTCAAAAGAAAAAAATTGTTTTTATTAATTTTCCATTTTTTCATGAATTTTTCAAACCCTAACCTATCCTAGCTATTTAATTTGTAACTACTGACACACTAGGCGGGTCGGGGGTATTAGTGAGCCACGCTCACTTTTGCCCTCGTTATGCCTCAAAGTGAGATTGACCAATGAGAGAGAAGAACTACTAAACCCATATGAGCCCGTATACCGTCAGTAAAAATCCAAGATGGTTGTTACTGACCTAATATGAGACCGTATACCATCAGTAATAGCCATTTTGGATTTTCCAACACCCACCTCACATATTTCACATGGAAATTCTGGTACCGAAATTTGTTATTCAACACTGTTTTGTGTTTTAGTATTATTAATTTTGATGTGCAAGGACGTTGATGTTTGGTTTTTTTATCACATTTGACTTTAATAAAAATTATATGAAGTTAAAATTATCAACAAGGTTTGGCCTCTGAGATTTGAAGAGTAGCCTCCCTTTGACCCTAACGTCTTAGGTTGTAAGTGTTAGTTTTGACATGACGTGCGACAAAGATACCAAATAGTGTAAACTTTTCAGCATTATAAATTTGTTATGGTGTCTTTAGTTGCCGTATACATTGTCATATAAGGTTAGCAGAAACATATTGGGTGAGGCGTTACACTCTATTCAGCAACTAAAGACACAATAACTAATAATGTTACCCATAGGGTTAGAAATAACCGAGTTCATGAAAATCATATGTGCACTAGTGCAAATTTCACTTCTAATGCACCACTGTATTTCCGTCATTCGGGTGGCATTGTTGACGTCATTCGAATCTATTGTGACATAAGGTCGGAATGATATCACACTAGCAACCATGTCAAAGCTGAAGATTGTTGATGTCATTAGTCAAATTGTGGTTTTCTAGGACAGCGATGGAGATCAGTGCATTTTTCTAAAGGGGAGCTGGAAAGGATTAAGAAATAATTACACTCATATATTTCTCTTGCTTTTGCTCAAGGAAAAACACTACTTCTGACACTCGTTTTTGTAAAATCAGTGTGACACACATGCTCGTATTATGGTCTCTATAAATATCATCCAAAATTGGCTTCCAGAGGAGATGTCGTTTGGGTCATATCAAAAGATGTCACTCCATGAAATTGCATCACAATTGCAGACTGTTGTGACTTCATTGGTTGCCATGACATCACAATAAAATTAAATCCCTGATCTCTCTGCCTCTGAAGCTGGCTGGGGGGCACGGGTGGCCCAGTCGTCTAAGGCGCCGCGATTCGCTGTGTAGAGTTGTGTCCCTTGGGCACGCCAGAAACCTATGATTGTGGGTTCGAATCCCAATTCGCCCCGATTATGTTTCTAGGTTTGTCAGCACCATACCCGTGCTCGTGGGTTTCACCGAAGTGGTGTAACGTCTGAGACCTGCATCACTTCGGGCTTTCCTCCCACATTAAGCTGACACGGCGTGATATAACTGGAATACTGTTAAAAGTGGCGTTAAACCCAACTCACTCACTCAATCAGTTGTTGCCTATGTTTTCAGCATTAGATGAGTCCACCAGTCAGATTGGTGTGAACATTGAGGAACAGCTGTATCGGCAGTGTGCGGAGCTCAACATCACGGTCATGAGTGTCGGACATAGAGAGAGTGTGCGGAGATTCCATGACATGGAGCTTCATCTCGATGGACAAGGAGGCTGGACCATGACCCCAATCAGACAGGATGTCATTAACGCGTGATTGGGAATATTGGTTGGTGTTTCTTGTGGATAACCTGGTGTTTTGTTTGTTGTTTGTTTGTTGTTTAATGCTGCATTCAGCAATATTCCAGCTATATGACGGTGGTCTGTCAATAATCGAGTCTGAACCAGACAATCCAGTAATTGATGTCATAAGTATAGATCTACGCAATATGGATAAAATGACATGCATCGACCAAGACAGCGAGCCTGACCACCCATCCTGTTAGTCGCCTCTTACGACAAGCATAGTTGCCTTTTACGGCTAGTATGGGTTGCTGAAGATCTAGTCAGGTCAGCTGGAAACTCATTTATCTGGACAATATTTGAGAAGACACAAGTGTCTGGATAAGCGAGAGTTGACTGTATACATGTAGGACTTGGATCCCTTGCAGGACTTATCCATGGCAGATTCTAATATTGATGGCAGATTCCATAAATAGGGCAAATATTGGCATATACTCAGATCTTAGGCAGATTATCGTATAACATAAATAATTGGCAATTTCTATAGCGCTAAACATCGTATAGATTCATATATTGCGGCATACTTTCAATGATCAATGTTGTGATTTCTCTGGATTACTTTTATCATTTCCCCGGGGGCACGGGTGGCCCAGTCATCTAAGGCGCTGCGATTTGCTGTGCAGAGTTGCGTCCCTTGTGCACGCCAGAAACCTATGATTGTGGGTTCGAATCCCGGTTCAACCCAATTATGTTTCTAGGTTTGTCAGCACCATACCCATGCTCGTGGGTTTCACCGAAGAGGTAAACGTCTGAGACCTGATCCACTTAGGGCTTTCCTCCCACATTAAGCTGACTCGCCGTGATATGACTGGGATACTGTTAAAAGCGGCGTTAAACCCAACTCACTCACTCACTCACTCAACCCGATAAGCCAAGAGTTTTTGTAACTCTCTCATACTTTTGTCTTAACTGCTTCGTACCTCCTACTGATTTATCTTCGAAAGTTTGCATTATTGGCCGAATCATCAAAGTTTTTGATTCGGGGTGATTCGGGATATTCATGGTCGTAGTGAAAGGGGGGCATTAGATGTGTTTTTAATGAGATTTGTGGCAGTGGGACTGTGGGAATATTTCAGTCATGTTCTATTTGTTTACCGGCAGAATGCCAGGAATCAGCCGCCCGGAGGAAACAATTCCAGCCAGACGTCTTTCAAGACCATACACTTTAGAATTATTATTTTCACAAGAAGAGTTGTCTGTTAGCAATGTAACATCTTTAGTTTTCCATGTCTTAAGTGTTTGTTTTGTTTGAAATAATGTTAATTTATTTTATTAAAGTTTATTTCATTTCGATCTGAATTAAATGTTAGTATTGTTTTTGAAAAAGTGCTGTAAATGTGGTCGATTTTTTGTGTGGTTTATTGTATTTGTTATTCTGTTATCATAGATCCTAAGGACTGACAACAATGTTGAAATAATTTAAGGATAAACTGTAAATCTTGAAATTAATGTGTCTCAAAATTAATACGACTACTGACCCCTAGCAGAATCAATGTGACTCCCCCCACCCCATCCCCAGTGGAATGATGCATATCCTTACCTTAATCCAGTCAAACGGCAAATAGCACCACTTATTAGGGCTGAGTAACGCACTTCCGTGATAACAATAAACAGTGTTTTCCTAATAACAACACACAGATCATATATTTATTTTGTTGACCGGCACTAAGGAAATTCAAAGGCAATAAAGTAATTGAACCGACAACAGTTCACTCATTGGAGTGGTCAATGATGCTTAGTTTGACATGCAATGATAACTCACCGGATGCCTATTGTGTAATTCCTATTCTTTAAATGACATTGTTATGTACGTGTTACAAGTGCTGTTCAATAAACCGTGTTTGTGTATATGTTCAAGTTGGTATTTCCGCTATCCAAAGTGTGCAGTGAGGCCGTCTTATTGTTGATAGTCATTTGGTGACATAAATGTGAAGTTTAGAAATTTTTATTGTTTATGTTTCCTTGACAACAAGTTGGATTTAAGTTTTAATATAGGATTGGTTTACTTAAGGAGTATAACAAATAAACTGTTAAATATTTCCTTGCCAAACATTGCATGTCTATATACAAAGCGCATACTGAACTAGTGCCATTTGATATTAAGGAGTTTTAGAAATGATTATTTTAGAATTTCAATTGCAGCTATTTTGACATGGGCTAAGAGAAATGTTGGGTCAGTTACCTGGTTTGGGACCATTACGTGTTAAAATGGGCGGGGGATATAGATGACTTTGTCATCTATACGCTTGTTCACCCTTGCGTTGATTTCAAGATTTACAGTAACTTGCACGACAGACCAGAGCACTTCAGTGGAGATATCCCCAGATGAGATATCCCTCCGATATCCCCAGATATCCCCCAGATATCCCTCACTGCCCTCTGTATGAATGGCAAGTGTGATAGAATCACAAATGTATCGTCAGTTATGTGAAGTAAGTTGTCAGTAGATCACTAGACAAATAGACAAAAACTTTGAATAGTTGCTGGTCTGAGAGAAATGTTAATATACTACTAATGAAATTTTAAGGACTACCCGATTCTTTTGTTACTATTGTTAAACTGTCATGCCATATCAACTGCAGCATAATAGTATGAAAGAATCGTGTCATAAAGAATTGTTTTCATTATATATTTTGTTTGTTTGTTTAACAATGTGTTAGTGAGGGAGGATGCTGTTTTGTTTCAGAGAGGTATTTGTTCTAGTCAAATGTCAGAAATTGTAAAAAGTAAAAATATGTATTTTCTTCACTAAATGCAAAGGCATGAAATGAGTGTATTTACTGGTGCAAGCAGCGCTTAGAACAAAGACTATCTGGTCCCAGAATGGAGACCCCGGTAGCAGGAACTGACCAAGTTAGACCAATGAATGTTTTGTAGTATGTTCCGGTCCAAACTCTCTCTTCAAGGGTTAGATTCATTTATCATATCATCTGGTCAGGCCTCAAAGTTGCGACTAAAACGGTGGCCAATGCGAGCTAAATTTCAATTTGTCTACTGTCTAAAATTCTGAGGTAGCCAAATGACTACCTTAAAATATATCTTGTGGCAACTAATTTCTATTGATACACATATGTAGACACAAAAATAAACATGTCTGCTACTGATTGTACTTGCAAATAATTCCTCCTAAAGTCAACAATGAACCGAAATGCATAAATATTAATGTAATTAGTATTTTATGTTAGTAGATACTTTATTGGATAAGCAGGATATACCTCTATAATCCAGTGACATAAATTGCATCATTGCTCGAGGTCACAAATAACAAAACTCAAGTACAGCATGTACAGTTTACACTAATATACAATTCCAAGACTAGTGCTATGACTTGTACATATAATAGTTATTTGATAAAAGATAATTTCAAATGCTTTTGGCTACCTACAATATTGGCTTGACTTCTTGATTTTACCACTGGCGACCTGGAAAAAAATACTTGTAGCCATATGGCTACTTGGTAAACATTTCAACTTTGAGGCCTGCTGGTGTCATTCATTCATGCATTCTTATGGAAATCCTCTATTCCAAATACCGTATTCGACGTAATAAGCGCCCCGCGGCGATATTTGCTAATATATTGGCTAGTGAACAATCCCAATTAGCACCCCTTCCGATTGATCAATGTACAGAAGACGTATTTATTCGCGTATAATACGCACTCATGGGTTATATGCACTGTTAATTATGGGGAATTGAATTCTGGAAAAATATATCTGTCGTACATAAACATTTCAGGCTGTCAGCATAAACCACGAAATTTATCTTTCAACTCTGTTTTTTCACCAAAATAATATTCTAATAAGAGCCCCCTATTTCTAATTTTGAGAGCGCCCAGGACGCTTATTACGTCGAATACGGTAGATATTGTCATGTTAGTATTATCTGGACTTGATGTTCCTTAAGAACATAACTGTTCTGAGTTTTAATCATGCTTGTATTTTTTGCATTGGTTAAGTATTATCTTCCACTTGTATTAAATCTTTGTATGAACTGAATGTCTTTAGCCTGAGTCAATCAAGTCTGGGTGTTCATTCAAATACAGAGCTTGTGGTAAGCAGGCTTTGATTGACATTAAGTATTTTAACTGTTTTCAAGACAATGTGACCGTTAACCTTCTAGCACCTCATGAGCTGCTTGGGTTGTATACTCCCCAGGGAGCTGAGGAAGAAAACAAGTGCACACTGATCAATTGATATTTACCGTATTCAATGTAATAAGCGCCCCGCCCTAATAAGCGCCCATGGCGATATTTGCTAATATATTGGCTAGCGAACAATCCCAATTAGCACCCCTTCCGATTGACCAATGTACACAAGACTTATTTATTCGTGTATTATACACACTCGTGTGTTATATGTACCCTTAATTATGGGCAATTAAATTCTGGAAAAATATATCTGTCGTATATAAACATTTCAGGGTGTCAGGATAGACCTCAAAATTTACGTTCACCATTTACCAAAATAATATTCTAATAAGAGCTCTTATTTCTAATTTTGAGAGCGCCCTGGGCGCTTATTACGTCGAATATGGTAAGACAAATCACTGAACTGACATATGGTATTTGTACTGTTACTCTTATGACCCCATTGGTTTTGAGTTTTGTCCCAAATATTTGTTTGGCTACTGCTTTAAGAGAAACAAAATATTGTGCCTCGATGTCCTGACGGCTGAAATCACCTGTCGGAAAAGAGAGTTCCCTCCCCCTCCCCCTCCTCCTCCTCCTTCTCTCCCCTCCCCCTTATTGCATTGTATACGGTATGGAAGAAATTGAAATCTTTTATATACTGCTTGCTTTATCATGTACAGAATATTCAAGATTTTCACTTTTTACTTCAATTTGCTTTGTTTATTGTATTCCAAGATACTCATCAGACAATATTTGTTTGTTTGTTTGTTTGTTTGTTTGTTGTTTAACGCCTCACTCAGCAATATTCCAGCTGTATGACGGCGGTCTGAAAAATAATCGAGTCTGGACCAGACAATCCAGTTATTGATATCATGAGCATCAATCCAGGCAATTGGGATCGATGACATGTATCAACCAAGTTAGCGAGCCTGACCACTCGATCCCATTAGTCGCCTTTTATGACAAGCATAGTCGCCTTTTACGGCAAGTATGGGTTACTAAAGACCTATTCTACCCCGTGTGGTCAGGCTCACTGACTTGGTTGATGCATGTCATCGATCCCAATAGCGTGGATCGATGCTCATGATGTCAATCACTGGATTGTCTGGTCCAGACTCGATTATTTACAGACCGCCGTCATATAGCTGCAATATTGCTGAGTGCGGCTTTAAACAACAAACCAACCATTAGGGCTGCATGTCAACTGTTAATGGTTATACAAGACTGAAAGAGGTTATGTCAGGAGGCATTGTCCGTCCAACCATTATGTACCAATGTGTACCAATGTGTACCAATGTGTATTCATGTATCCGTGTGTAAGATACTGTACCATCTTCCCGAGGCAAAGGCGTTAACTGTAAAAGTCCAGTTCCTACCCTTGCTGAATTAGGCTGGAATTTCTGGGCTCGATAGCGCCACCAGTAGTTATTACAAGTTATGTCCCTTCTATGTCCCTTCTGTTGACCAATCAGATTCCATCTCTCATATCACTTGTATTTGCTTCAAACAAAATGATGGCCCCTAGTCAAGGTGATCTGATCAAAAATCAAGATCTATATTGTAAGGAAACAGGTCTAAAATCACTTGAGCACCTTAATTAAAAACATGAAAAGATTTGCAAATATCTGTCGACCCCCAGTTGGCGGTACACATGCTTGGCGTCCTGCTGTCGACCGAAATCTGCATGTTGAAATCCATGTTCTTTACGAACTGGATGTCTAGTTCGTTACGCGATTTTGATTGGGCTATGCATAGACTCTTTAGTTCAGCCAAACTCCAGAATTCCAGCCTAGTTTGGCAAGGGTGGAAACTGGATTTTCATAGTCAGGTAACGACCTTGCCTTCGGAAGATGATAATATACCTGCAGTTGTGACATCTATGTAGAAACTTACTTTTGTGTGCATGGTGTTGTTCACGATTGAATACACGACCTTCATGATCAAATGGCAGGTGAGCCACAGGGTCCATTGTTTCTGTGCTGTGTACATCCTTGGGCACAGAGATTGTGTAAGACATAAATATTAAAACACATATCAAATAGTAAAGTAGAATATATTCATGAGATTGTAAGACTATGTGAAGATGTACCAGTTGAGGCGAGTTGTTTTTTTATTTTTCTGTTTACAGACTTAAGCCAAAAGTCACAATATGAGAATACAATTAAACTGTCATACGTTTTTTTTATTCATATTTGCCTGATCTCTCAATCTTTATTGGATAATAAGCAAAATAAAAAGCTACAAGTGCAAACTCCATACAGAATGACTGGTAAAGTTACTATCAATTGTTTATGTTAACAAGCTTGCACTGTTATTAGTTTTCAACCCTGCCAAAGGGTACAATGTGTGAAGCCCATTTCTGGTGTCCCCCGCCGTGATATTGCTGGAATATTGCTAAAAGCGGCGTAAAACCATATTCACTCACTCACTCGACCCTGCCAAAACGGTAGTCAGTGACTCTTAAGGGGACTTGTACAGGATGAGAAAGGCACTTCCAGTGTTCATCTATACACTTATTACTTTGCTTCATTTTTATTTGGTGCGTGTTGTGTGATTACAGGGCCACGTTCCACAAGGCGTTTTTACAGCTATGACTGTCGTTAGTGTAGGATAAAGGGGTTTTATGAGATTTAATACCCAAATCCTAGGGACATTTGCCGCGAGGTTTTATTCGAGGATGAGTGGTTAAAATCTCATATAACCAGAGGGGAAGTGTTTTATTTATCTGACTTATAA